GGTTTGTTTTTTATCAGGTAGTCTTAAGGTCTCTACTGGTAGCTGTTTGTTTGCCTAGGCAAGGCCCATGCAGGTCTTTTCATGCTGTATATCATCTGTTAAAAACTTAATCTTCTTAATTAAATGACATGGTAGTGCATGGAAGCACTTTGTTCCGCTTATTTAATGTGTGTGTTAGTTCACCCTGTTATATGGTCTTGTGGTTAAATAAATATACTCATTAGTAAGTCATCCTGGAATTAAATGAACAGAATGATGACCTGAATAGCTTTTGGGGCAAGTAGCTGAAAACTGTCTCCTTAGACCTAAAGCCTATAAAAGTTGAGGAAATGATACTTTTATCTTCTGCAAGGCATTTGGTATTGTTTTTTGTAGAATACACTGAATGGATTTATTCAACAGATATTTAAAAATATATAATTTTGTTTAACATCCCAAACCAATAGAAAGATATTGTTGAATCTCCTTGGTCATTGAATCATGACCAGCCTCCCCTGAAGTTTGTTTCTATATGGTTTATCTCTGTACTACCTTTTGTTTTTCCTAGCTGTGAAACAAAGTTGGTGTCCAGTCACTTCGCAACTGCTGTGGCAGAAATTCAATTCTACTGAAGTCTGTCTGTCTGTCTATCTGTCTCTCTCTCTCTCTCTCTTTCACCCTCACCCTCCCTTTCTCTGTCTGTCTCTATTTATTTTTATATATATACGTGTGTGTGTGTGTATGCATGTGTCAGGAGTTCAACAAGCACTGGTAAAATATATCCATATTCTTCAGAGCGCTAGATAATCTTGACTGAATTGGGCATGATATGGAGCTTTGGAATAAATGGAAGACCACCTCCTCCCCATTGCATATCAGTGGGTCTGGTCTGCTGAAAAAAACGGACTCAGACAACATGCTTGTTGATGAAATGAGATCTAAACGTTCCAGCAGATACTCTATAACATTTCTATGTCATTAATTTTTTAGGAAACAGAGCAAATGCAGAGATATAATCAACGACTTATTGAGGAGCTAAAGAATAAGCAAACTCAGGAAAGAGCAAGACTGCCTAAAATCCAACGAAGTGAAGCAAAGACTCGAATGGCTATGTTCAAGAAAAGTTTAAGAATCAACTCATTAGCTTCTCCAGACCAAGATCGTGAAAAAATTAAGCAGGTGACTAATAAAAACAGGTTTAATAGTGTAAATGTTTGGTGTGATGTAAATGTGATGATGAGGCAGAGTGCGCCCTCAGCAAGTTTGCAGGTGATACAAAACTGGTAGTAGTGGTTGTTAATCTAGGAGGTTGTGCTGTTATCCAGAGGGACCTCAGTAGGCTGGAGAAATGGGCCAACAGGAATTTCATTAAATTCAACACAGGGAATGGAAAACCCTGCAGCTGGGAAGGAGTAACTCCACGCACCAGTGCAGGCTGGGCAAAAAACAGCTGGAAAGCAGCTTTGCGGAAAAGGCCGTTGGCATCCTGGTGAACGAGCTGAACGTGGGTCAGCACTGTGTGCTTGTGGCAAACGAGGCCGACAGCCTCCTGAGCTGTATTAGGAAGAGCACTGCTAGCAGGTCGAGGGAGGTGATTCTTTCTCTCTACTCAGCATTGGTAAGGGCATATCTGGAGTGCTGGGTCCAGTTCTGGACTCCACAGTACAAATACCTTCTAAGGAAGGATTAGAGGGGAGACAGAAATGGAGTGATGGACAAAACTGTGAAGACACTGCCTTGGTAGAAATTCGAAAAAAGGAAGAATAAAGAAAACATGAAGATTGTTCAAGTCTTTTAAAACCATTCTGTTTGACTATGCTGTATATGTTTATTCTGTTGTATGCAGTTCCTTGACTCACATGCAAATTGTTTTCTCTAGAGGTACAATATAAATCTTTTTTTTTTTTTTCCTAGTTTGGTATTAAAGAAGAAAAGAGACAAAAAAATGAGAGACTGGCTCAGCATCAGAAACATGAAAATCAAATGCGGGACCTTCAGTTGCAATGTGAAGCAAACATCAGAGAGCTGCATCAATTACAGGTTAAAAATAGATTATATGAAATGAACATTCAATGGGAAGACACACAGGCCAAGCAGAAACATTTTTCCTTCATTTTTGTCAATTCACGTGGATTTTTGCAAATTTGCAGCATACTCTTAACCAGATTCCTAAGCTTAAAACGATTAATGAGAAATCATTTTATGTACAAGAAGAGCATGAACTGTAAGCAGATGATCACTTCTAGAATATTTGCCAAGTTTCCAGTGCTATTTTCTGTAGCATTTCCTTTCACCATACTATAGCTAGAATGTCATTAATCAAAACAGAGGTAGGTACCACCAGGTGTTACCCACAGGAGTTCTATAGCAATACATGGAATGAGCTCTTTTTTACAAGGTATAGGTTGCCATTTGCACTTGAGCTTCTGAAACGTGTTTGGCAAAAATTTTCTTTTTGCAGTTAGGAACTCAGTTTTGCTCTGTCTAAAATACGGTATGTAGTTTGTAAAAACTAACTGTTGTATACTAAACGCCAGATCGTGTTTTCCATTAAATCTGTTTTTTCCTCCGCTTCAGGGATACAAGGCAGGCCAAAGCATTAAACAAACACCTGCTGATAACCTTTGCCCAGAGAAATCTTCCAGTGGCCTAGAGCCTATGAAGCTACTTCTTCACTACTCCCTTTCTCACATCTTGTGAAAACAGTCTGTGACTGTGGCACTCATACGGTTCAGTAAATCCCCAAGTACTGTGGGAGACTGTGTGAGACTTTCATCACAAGTAAAATTGATCAGATTAGGGCTACCCCTAAGCTTCACTGAGAACGTTTTGGCCCCTCGCGTTCAGGACTAGCCAAGTGCTTGTCATTTTTGTTCCTGTGTTTTCAGACTTTGCGTCGGGCACAGCTGGGATTTGAGACCTAGAAACAAGAATGTGGATGTTAGAGACTACCATTGGCAACTGCTCTTAAAAAGTAAAGATTTGATCCAGCCAAATGCTTAACTGCACTCTTGCTGTTATGTTTGAAGCTCCTCTTAACATTTGGCAGAGGCATATGTATCTTACTGAGGTGGAATTTGAAGCTGATGTATGGTTTAATTATCTTTTTTTTTATTTTGTTTTTAAATAGGGTGAGTCTGAGGCTGCTTCTGCAAGCACATTTGCTGCCCTTCCTAAACCCTGTTTCTTAGTCTGAGCTCCTTGGCACCAAGAGTTGGAATAGTTTCACGTATGCCCCTTTTTAGTTTAATTGATTTTAATAAATTATACAAACTGCATTTAAAAATGAAAGCAAAGCAGAAATACTGCATGACCTTAAATAGCATAATTAGGCAGTGAAGCACAGACAGTTTTGAGTATCGCTGTCAGCCCTTCGGAATGGTACTTCACAGTATTTATGGGTTTACAAGTATTTCTTATCTCAATTGGTGCTGATGGAAAGATCTGCTTTTAATAATGTAGCCTCGGTGACATACTTTTATCTTGTAATTATTCACGTCACTATTTACACAGAATAAGCTAATTAAAAAGAATTAGGACAGCATATGGTGCTGCGCAAATGCAGAGTTGTCTAATCTGAATTAGTTTTACTTAAGGATTATCTTTATCTTGTTTTAAGAATGAAAAATGCCATCTACTGGTTGAACACGAGACTCAGAAGCTAAAAGAGCTAGATGAAGAGCACAGCCAAGAACTGAAGGAATGGAGAGAGAAATTGAGACCAAGAAAAAAGGTAAATTGCAGCAGTTTATGAAAATAATCAAGCATCATTTCTTACAAAGTGGACAATCATAAATTGGGCAATACAAAAAGTATGACAGAGGAGGAGACTCAAGCCACTAAACAAAACTGCCATAGTTTACTGTTTAAAAAAGATATTAAATATATGCCAAAGCTGAGCAAGAGGCATGTACAACAAGAAAGGCTTGCATGCTGTCTGTCTTTTAACGTGTTCCCTCTTACAGGGCATACACACGTATTTTCATGTAAAACCTCGTAGCTGTACGCAAAGCTTTTTTTAGGATTATATTTCAGAAGCCAGTAGGATATTACAAAAAAAATTGAGTGCTAAACAACAATAGAAGTTTTTCTATAATAATTTTATTTTAAAATGAAAAATACCAGGTTTTCACACAATTTAAACAGTAATCTACAAGCAGAAGATATTCTTTTTTAGCTTGCTGGATGTTGGTTTTCTTGCAGATTTGATAATTGCTTTTTTTTTTTTTTTATTAATCATGGAGTGTGAAATTATGATGCTATATCAGACAATATGTCACCAGTATCATAGATTTCTTGTACTTCTATTCCTATGGCAATCTGATCTTTGTTTTCAGACATTGGAAGAGGAATTTGCTAGAAAACTGCAAGAACAGGAAGTTTTCTTTAAAATGACTGGAGAATCTGAATGCCTTAATCCTTCAACACAAAGCCGGATTTCCAAATTCTATCCAATCCCCAGCCTTCACTCCACTGGCTCATAACTCTGGGAACTGCTGTAGGTTTTTCATATTTGGAATTCTCCACCCTCATCATCTAACCAGATATAACCTGCAATGTACAGCAAAGGACTGTAGCACTCTTTGTTTTCAGTGGAGACAATCAGTGTCACTATCAGTTTTTTCCTTCTCCTTCGAATGGAAGAAAACAAAAAAGGAGAACGGACGTTGGTGTATATGGCAATGTGATGTCCTTCAGATGTTTCAAGAATAAGCGGATTTTTTAAATCTAAGACTCAGAAAGTACGTTACCAATGGGTTTGGCTTCAAGTAAGTGACCCTAAAATAATATAATCTTTATGATCACAAAGAAAAAAAGATTTCTCATGTGAACATTTAAATGGTGTAATCCTAGTCCTACTACTGTGTTTTTAAATATCTGATTTCTCCACAACAGAATTCCATAATGGAAACTGCCATAAGAGGTTTAAAATATTGTAATGTTGAGTAGTGTCTTCGTAACAAGGACTGAAACTAGTTACTCAGAACATGCCAGTGATCAGAAGAATGAGCCCTTATGTTTAAACATAATTGGTAAGAGCAAAAGCCTTTACAGCTTCCTAAAAAAAAAAAAAAAAAAACAAACACAAACAAACCTCTGGCATAAATTAAACTGAGCAGATCTCCATTGCATACTATGTCCTTTAATTCTATAACGAAATGGGGTGCTAGTTTAATTAATACAGTGCCTGAAACACTTACATATGCTAATCTTGGCAAAAGGATAGTGTTTTGTCATTAAAAAAAAAAAAAAAACCTCCTTAATGTTGTTGTTACTGTACAAAACAGAAGAATTCTTGCTGCTACTGCCATTTTTGTCATAAGTCCTCACCCTAAAATATTTTGCACTAAAATATGTAAAGGTGAAAAAAATGCTAACTTTAAAATGCACAGTTTATTGCTTTCCTTAGCTATTACAGATGGTTAGTTCTACAAATGGAAAAACTGTAGGATGTATTTTTTAGGACACGGTGTGCAAAATGCACATGGTTTCTCTAACTTTACCTGGAATAGGTAAAGCCATCTTTTTGTTCTTAACCAAAGCCTGTTCATTTAAGCTCCTCAGAAAGTGGAGGTGGATGGTCATATTTATAAATAACCATGCCTGAAGTCTGATTCAATTAGAAGTGTTGGACTTGATTTTTTTTTTTATTTTAGTCCTTCTATTTTATAGAAAGATTTAAGTTAAATATATAGACAAACTACAAAGCTGGGTTTTTTGCTTTTGTTTTGCTACATACTAACATACATGGTTTTTATTTTTCAAGTTCGTAGATGTATAATAAGTTATTTACCTGACTGATCTGCAGTGGAAAAAATCTGAAATGCTTCTCGTATAGCTGGTGGGGAAATATAACTGTATTAGGTCACTTTTAGTGCACTCCTTTTAACGGTTAGAATTTGAGTCATATCAAGACAGTATTATAAGCTGTACTTTGGTATGCCAAAGTTAAATTTGTAAAATAGTATTTGCTTTCTGTCACTTGAGGCCTAACTTTCTAGTCTCTTTGGGTATCGACTGTAAACATTTCCTTTTTGTTTTGCTAGCTTGCATTAAATGTGAGCCTGGTGAACATTATATGATGTTCATTTCATGGGAACAGTATTGATGCATGGGAATGAACTCATAAATAAATAACATAGGACTTTAATCAGATTTGGCTGAAATCCTTGGATGTTGAACCTATAGCTTCTTAATGAGGACACTTAAAATTTACAGCACAGTAAAAATAATTGGAAAATGCATGTTTTGATTTAAATTTTGTAACTTTTTGATAAGCATAATTACTTTAATAGCTAGCCTTAATTTCTGGCATTTTATTATATAAATGTGTATTGTATACTGTTGTAAATTCACATATCATATCTCTAGAGTGTTATCTGTTGCTAAACGCAAAGTTCTTTAAATTGTTTATTCCTTAGGGTGAAAAATATCTTTGAAGGCCTTTAATTTAAATTGCACCGTTATAAATTGATTATTACTAAAATAACATTAAAATAATCCTTATCTCTGTTTTGAACAGAACTTATTTGCAATTTCATATAAAATAGGCTCAGTGATTTATTTGGGGAGTAGACGTGGCAGGCAGATTTCCTCTTCTGAATTCTCCCTTCCTTCATCCACATTAAATTCTCAGATAAAGATTTTATCTTCTACTTTTTGTACTCTTGGTGGTTTCAGTGATAATGTGCTAATATATATTGACATACTGTTTACCTCTGTCTAAATCTTTTAAATCTATTATTTGAATTCCATCCTTTTCACAGAAACCCCCTGTAACCTGATCTCATTGCAAACTGTACAAATAAACCACTGAATCCCCTGGAGAAGGGAGGGATTGAAAGTAGCAATTGAAGCCTTAGCGAGTGTTTGGTCACATCTTGAGTCCTGGAGCACCGTTAAGCAGCTGCAGCCTTGTGAACTGCACTGAGAATTGATATCTGGTGTGAAAATACATTTTTCTGGGATAACAGGAACTGGCATGGGTACTTAGGCATTTAGACTGATGAAATTGGTTTTAAAGTACTGAGGAACATGAGAGGTGCACACTATCGTATCAGTGCTAGAAAATTCCATTCAAATTAATTTAGTCTCACATAGGCCTGGAAGAGATCTTCTGAGATATAAAATCCAATCTCTCTGCTTCCCATGTCACTAATCCCTTTAACAAATGTAACAAGTTCCATCTTAAAGGTACTTAGGCATATTTTCCTTAGCTGGAAATAATGTACCATGTTACTGAGGTTTTGGCAGTTCTCATTTTCCCTATATGCCCTTCAAGAGATGATCCCAAGTCAGTATTTGCTCAAGTTTGTGTCCTACCGCATCATAAATACTTTGAACAGGAAAATCAACAAATGCGATGAGATGTACGAAGTGCAGTGCAATATATCAGCTTTTCCTTGTATTTACAATTGATCCTTGCAAAAGAACTGCCTGTAGGCCCGTCACCTCTGACAGCTTCAGACCTCAGAATGTGTTGTTCTTAGCCTCTGAAAGCAGATTGCAGCACCTACGAAATCAGCTTCTTTGGGACCGGATCTTGTAAATGTAGGGCACAGTGGTTCTGCTTGCATACACGGAAGAACATGTAGAGCATGAAAGGATATGATATTTTGGTTAGGGTCCAAAAAATAACGTTATGTTGTTGTTATGTTTGGCTAGATATATCCTTTGCAGGTATTAAAGGTTTTCTTTTAGGAGTGTCAGGATGTCTGAATGCAAATCCAGAAGAGGCAGTCATGCAGCTATTGATAAGGCTGGTCTGATTTGCAGTGTCATGACCAGTGACATTTACTCAGTGATTTTTCATGTCATTTTTAACAAATGATATTAATTCCAAATTGCATCCTTTTTTTCAGAGTATGTTTTAAGCTAATATCCTCTCCCAATTACATTCATGGATGTTTGATATCTAAGCAATTGTATGGTATAGCAGTCAGCAGGCTGAATATTAAAAAATGATTCTTCTGTCCAAAGAGATTTTCTCCATTATAACGATGTTTTTGTTTTTGTTTTCTCTCCTTTCAATAAATAAATAGGAAACTTAGCTAAGTCAGAGCCTGACAGAACCAAACAAAGCAGTGGTGTAATTCCTTTCATCAGACCACAGTATAAAAATGTGTTTTATGATGGCAAATCACATAAGACATTTAAGTTAATTCTCCAGTATTGTTCTTGCAAGTATTTCAAGGATACTTCAATATGTAAGTTTTAAATAAGTTTTTTTTTTTTTTAAATTCAAACACTTTAGATCCATATTAAGGTAACCTGATTTTCAGAGCTGCTGTGTAGCTATGGCTCCGAAGAACTCAGAAATGCTTGTCTTTGCTGAAAGAGGGAGAACATGCTTAAATGTGCAAATAAGCTCAAAATGTCAGTTGTTTCCCCTGAAAATACTGCTTTTTGGTTAGTCCGCTATGGGAAAAGTGGGACAAGTATTTGAGGAAAGTGACTGTACTGTCATTACAGGAAAAAGCAGGGGAGGATAGTTGTGATCATCACTATATAGGTAACTTTCTGCTTTTTACGTTAACGTTTACAGTTCTCAGTCATTTTACTTCACAGTCTGTACTTCTGGAGCTGAGCAAAGCTTCCTTGGGTTGATGCGGGCATGCACATTTCCTGTTCCCTGACTTTTAATGTCAGATTCCCAGCAGATAGGGAAAGTGAGGTCAGAGAGAAGTAGCATTCCTTATTCACAGGACAAGCCAAAGTCAGGACACCTGTTATGTTTCTGAGTCTTGCAACAGATAAGAACAGATGAAGGGAGGGAAGCACAAAAGAATCTTTATAGTATTTTTCTGGCTAGGGAAGGATATTGTTTTCAGCACTTTAACGATGCTGAAATTAGTGACGATCAAGCCCAGCAGAGTTAACGCAGTAACATAGTACTGACCAGTGCAGAAAGGAAGGCATGAAGACTGTTCCTTTTTTTGTGCTACACTTATAGAGAATTTGGTCTGTGTTGCTCAGATGTGAAACTCGAGCCTGTTGCAGCCCTCACAAATGGATGAGGTTGGCCATTTGCCCATGCAAATAACCTTTCATGTAAGGTTTTGCTCAACTATGACTTTTCAGTAAAGCCTCATTTTTCTACTGCAGCTGTAGCTCCGATTCTGACTGCATGAATAAGGGACTGCACAGTGGCAGGACTCCAGCTGGCTGCTGCGGCCCAGGAGAAAGCGTGGAGCACTTTGCTCCAGAAGGCCAGTGTGCTGGCAGATCACACCTTGCTTATTTGAGGCCATGTAGCGGTTTAGCCAGGCTCTTTAGTTTCCCTCAGTTCTTCTCCATCTCCTTCCTCTTGCCTCTCTCACAATCTGCAGGGTAGAAATTTGTGAATCCTCACTCTTCGTTTCTGTAACTACTGCCCTTTTGGCATAATAAGGGCAGTCAGTGGATCCAGAGACAGGAAGTGGAAGACCTCTTTTGACTAATCACCATAGGACTTGCTCAAAACCAGCTAATGAATAAGGACTTACACATGTTCTACTGTATTGAAAGGAAAAAGGAGTAGTTTAGTCCAAAAATGCTTTTATTTTCCACAATCTCTTCCGTATTTACCAACCCAGGTAAAGCCTCTTTCATACTGATTATAACTCACCCACTCTAAAATGGTGGAAGAAACAGAAGGTGAAAGGGGACATTGAGTGAAATCTGAAATGTTCGACTGTCATACCCCTGTCTTTTGTCGGAAAGTCACGCAGTGCTCTTCTATGATAAAGCATAGAAATCTAAGGCACCTCCAACTTCACATTGTTTCAGCAATTTGTCGAATGTTTTGTGTTAACTGCACACCAATTCATTTTTGCCTTACATCCAAACCAAAAATGAGATGGATGAATAATTGGCTAAGGATCTGTGTATGAACAGCTCATGAAAGCGAATTTGCAGTAGCAGCCATATAACAGGGTTTTTTGGCTTTTTTTTTTTTTTTTTAAGTAATTTGATTTCATGGCTTTCTGTAGAATATTGTAATAATTCTGCTGTAAATACAATAAAATCAGTTTGCTGAGATGGCCTCTGGTTTTGTTGATGGAAAGCTTATAGAAAACACAAGTGACTGATGTGTGAATGGGACATGGATATTTTTTAAATAATGGTGTATAACAAGTGCACATTATGCAACTGCTTGTGATTTCCTGACTGTGATAGCCCAGGGTGTCAGTAGATTTAGCACAAACAGGGTGCTGTTTTTAGGGGCCTGACAACAGCGTAGTGAAGCCCCTGCCCTGTCAGTGGGACTCATAGCAGGGTTGGAGGAGCGTCAGACCCTGGGTCCTCCCTGTGTGGCAGCCAGTCTTCTGCCCTTAGATGCCTAACCCTGTCCTCAGACACAGGCAGTGAACCCCTCACAGCAGTCCCAAGTAGTTGGGGATGGCTTATGGAAGCACAGCTGCAGCACTTAGATGTGACAACCAATGCTAAGGCTGCAGTTCCCCACTGGAGCGCCTGCCCACCTCTGCTAGTCAGTACGGTGTAGCTCAGCCATCACCCAGCTGCTAGGGGTTTTTTGTTGTTGTTGTTGTTGTTGTTTTCCCTTCTCTTCCTTTGCAATATTGAGAAACAAATTCTGTGAGTGAGCTGATGATGGCAGTGGCACCCTGGGACAATGCACATAGGTCCAAGTCACCTATGAGTGATGAGGAACGAGACAGCTGCCATCAGCCACTCAAAGCAAGAGGTGTGTCTGCCCATGACCACAGGGACCCTGGCACTGACTGCCAACTGTAACACTGATCGGGCAAACTTTGGGTGAAAAACACACTTTAATTGGGATGTTTACATTACAATTACATTTCTTCCAATGTTAAAAAATAGTAAATATAAAAATATTTTTAAAAGTCAACAAATTACGTTTAACAAAAGTGCTTCAGTTCTGTCCCTGTGCTTGGCATGTCTCGTGTTGCTGCTAGCAACAGGGACTGCAAAGCGTGTGATGACCCAGGCCCTGAAAAGTACTTGCCCTTGCTGTACCCATATGTGCTGTCTGAGCCTGTCATGTAACAGGAGTTTTGTCAAAGGAGATGAGGCGAGATGGGCGCAGGAGGAGGGTTAACACGCGTAGCAGTGCTACAGCACTGCTGAACTGAAGAGCTGGGAGGGACTCACTGTCCATAGCAAGTCACCGACCGAGGTGACAAGGGGTGCTGATCTGGAATCACTAGGGTGGGGACCTTTAGGGCAGAAATCAGCACTGCCAAGCAGCCAGGTGGGGAAGGCAGAGCCCAGGTGGGCCAAGTACTTCTCCCTGCGTCATCCATGCGGGGCCAGGCTGGGCTAGGTGCCTGATGTGGGTCAGTGCTTGGGGGTACTTCAGTGCAGTGTGCCCCACCCCCCCCACCCAGGGACCCCTGAGCCTCAGCCCTGCTGGTACCCTGCTGGTACCGGCCTTCCCAGGCCCTCCCACACGCAGCTGGCACAGCAGAGGCTGCAGCCCCAGTAGCCGGGGAAAGGAGGGCAGTGAAACTAGTGGAGAGGAAATCGCTTCCATGTGGCAGCCCAGTGTGGCAGGAAAGCTTAGTCCCAGAGCTCCTTATAGGGCCTTTTGTCCTGTGGTCAGCATCTGATCTCTGAGCAGTCACCTGCTGTTTGATTTTTCATGTGGTGAGAGGGGGACTATTCAGCTCACTGGTTAAAACCAGGTTTTACATAGCTAGGAATAATATGAGAAGCCTGGACTGGGTGAGACAGAAAGCCCTTGTCAACCCAAAGACATACAAACCTGGGAATTCGGGTGCACTAAGCCAAATACTAGCAACAGGAGCAGATACCCACGTTAGAGCTGTGCTGGACATACATAAAAGAGTCATTCAAATCTTAGCAGTGACACTGAACTACCAAGTCTAAGTGGTTAGCTGACTGGCAAGGAGGTTTCTAGCAGTAAGACGGTGATGATTCAGGCTAATTCTGTACCGGCTGTCAGGAACGCTGCCCAGTGAAAAACTGAGCTGGCTCTGTCCTTAGACACCCACACTTCTTCTTTTTCTTCTTCTGCCAACATACACTTGCTCACCTAGGTCCAAGGAAGTCAAAAAGCAGGTTAGTTGAAGGGTTCATGTTAAAAAAAAAAGAAAAGGAAAAAAAAAAAAAAGACAAGTTGTGTGAGTTTTCCAGCAGTCTCCAGAGACAGGGCTAGTATCTGGGGAACTCTCCATTCCCTGAGAGACAAAGCCATCCCCCCTTGGATAAGATACCTTTCTCTCCTTTCTCTCCTTTTGGTCCCCTGTGCCCTTGGCGTCCTGGAGGGCCCATTGGTCCAGGGTCACCTGGAAGAATGAGAAAATCAAGTTTGCTCGTGAGCATGGCTGCACTGTGAACAGTAACAGGCCAGGATGAGGAAGACCAGCTTAGACTGATGCATTGCCTGAGACTCTGAAGATGACATAGCTGCTGTGGAGCAAGGGAGATGTGACCTTGAGGACAGTCCAGAGCCAAGTGCCCCCGTGGACAAGGTGCTACTTCCTGGCCAGCAGGAAGTTATGGGGTTACGTGGGTGCGAGGGAAAGGATGACAAGCCTTACCTTTGGGTCCAGGATAACCCCTCTCCCCCTTCTCACCAGGTGGCCCCTGGATGGTACCATATGCTGCAGAGGAAAAAGACGACGACAGATGAATGGGACACATCATTTGCAAAGATCTTTGTGCTCACTGGAGAAGCACTGAATCACTGGCTAGTTATCTAGATTAGATGGGCTTAGACAGACCTGGAGTAGGTTTCTGTTTTCAAAAACGGTTTTGGTCCCAACAAAATCCCAGGGACAGTTTGTGAGCTCATGTCCCCAGAACTGCTCTGCAGCCCTCCCTAGAGCCAGGAGCTGGAGCTGGCCCATGCTCAAGGAGGGGGAGGAACTTGAAAACAGAGTGGGCAGCGCTGTCCTTTTGCTCTGCATGTGCCAGCCCAGTCAGGGTAAAATGGGCCACAGCAGCAGCGAGCAGAGCAGCCTGTAAGGTTTGGGAGGAGTTTTCTACAAGAAGTAGTGGAAAAAACCTGATGTCCTATCTGATGATGAGATTGCATTGCCCCAGCAAGGGAAGAAGGGGATGGAAAAAAAAAAAAAATCTCATGCACATCACTCACTTCTGAAGAAGTCCATGAGGTCCTCGGTTACATTGCCGTAGGATGCAAAAACTCTGCTGATTCCAGGGGGACCAGGAGGGCCTGGGGGACCTGGGGGTCCCTGTGCATTGTAAGACATCAGATCTTGAAGGATACCTCGGCCTGAGGAATTAAACACGTCATTTGAAAGGAGCTCTGGAAAAGCTGCAGCTGGATGATGGGGCAGGAGGTTGTAAGGAAGAGCTGCAGGCAGCAGGAAAGGTGAGGGAAGCGAACAGGCTAACACCAGGCACAGGGTCCCGGAGTTGTAGGCTGGGATGGGGAAGCTCAGGCATAGCAGGATGAGCAGCTGTCCCACTCACTCTGTAGGCTCTCCGACACACGGAGTGCCAGCTCATTGTAATCCAGGGATCCGGTGAAGGAGTCACTGTAGGCGCTGCTTGAGCCCACCGATCTCCTGTGCGCCTCTTCTCCTGCCAGCAGCCCATCGAAAGACCCATCACTGCCCCTGGAGGTGCTGTAAGAGCCCTCGCCGCCCATGGAGGAACCATATGAGCCCTCGCTGCCAGTGGAGGAGGCGCTGTAAGATGACATTCTGCTCATGGAGCTGCTGTACGAGCTGCCTGTGCCCAGCAATCCCCCACTGGATCCCCCAGCACCAAGGGATCCTCCATGTGCCTTCTCAGAAGCCAGTGACTCTTGGTATGATGCAGCCAGGGACCCTGCCACCAAACCACTATCTCCTTTTGGTCCTGGTGGTCCCCGTGGCCCAGGGGGCCCAGGTGGCCCCGAGATGTAGCTTCGAACTTCATCACCTGCAAAATACAAGAGGCACTGAAAGGACTGAAAGGGTACCTGGGCCTCCAAGGCTGGGCAGAGTCATGTCCTGGATGAAGACTAAAGCATGCAGCTCTGTCCTATCAGCCACCACAGTAACCCTCATCCACTGCCATGCCTCAGGCAGCAGTGAGTACATCAACCTTGATCTCTATGGACGGAAAAATTGAGACATGACACCCTCATTCTCCCCCATGCCCAGAATTTTGGGTGCCCAAGCCCAAAATCATGCCCGATAATTTTGTAGAGGCATGCGCTCCTCTTGGGGCCAAGTCCAGCACCTCTGCCAAAATAGCCTTTCTTCAACCAGTCTCCCAAAAGTGAGGAGTTCTCCTTGTTTTTGAAAGGCTGCCCAGGGTAACTTCCCACTGTGAGATCTCAGACAGCAGTCATGCAGACATGGACTTGGCCACCCACAACCTGGATGTCCCTTCTCCGGCAGTACAGGTGCTGCCAACTACAGCCGAGCATAAGGCACTTTTTTCTCCCTGGCATCCTCATAGCTGGCTTAGAGCCACCCTCCAAAGCCCACATCATCCATCGCTCTGGAGGAAGGTGGTTGTCAAAGGAAATATTTTTCCCACAGCAAATGTCTCCAGGTGACCTTACTAAGGAATCACTGTTCAGTACAGGGCACCTGTAACTTCACTGTGCTTATCCCTCTAGACTCACAACATGTGAAGTGCAGCTCTAGGTAGACCTGGCTTTGGAGACAAGGTGCTGCTCCAGCCCCTCTACAGGACTGCCACAGCGAGGGCAGAGCTCGCAGCTAGCACAGGGCAGAGTAAGGCCAGGGGTGAGTGCAGGGAGGATGACATCCCCTTACTCTTCAGGTACTGGATCAGCTCGCTCCTGAACTCGTCACTGTGAGTGATGTCAGCATAGGACAGGAGTCCGGTTCCCGAGAAGCCTGGTGGTCCTGGAGGGCCAGGAGGGCCAGGTGGGCCCTGGATTCCAGAGAGGGAGGAGTAGCCCACACCTTGCGAGAGGGAGAGAGGAAGAATGATCTTGTGACAGTGAGAGGACATGGAAAGTGCACATCTGGCACTCCTGAGAGTTTAAAGGGCCTGACCCCAAAGTCCAGCCCCTTCCAACTGATGTCGATGAGTTTTTTTTTTTTCTTTTAAGCAACTCTGTTCCCACTGGGGAGTCACATCTCCTGAGAAGCTAATTTCAGCCTCCCTGACACCTACAAACTTCACTTTCTTGGCAAGCTTGAACCCTCCCCGCCAGTTGCAAGGAACATGACTGTCTTACTTTGCAGGTAAGCAGAGAGGTCTTCCAGAGAGGTGCCGGGTGATCCAGGGATCCCTGGGGGTCCCTGGGGCCCTACAGGTCCAGGGGGACCAACAAGGCCACTGAATTCAGAGTCTGCAAAAGACAATGGAAGAGGAGTCACACAAACCACCGCAACCCAGATGTCCCTCCTCTGAGACTACAGGTGATGTCAGCTACTGGCGAGCATAAGGTGCTTTTTTTTTCTCCCCAGCATCCTCTAGCGCAGCCTTCCTGGTGCACCTTGCTACTCTGCAGGGAGATGTTGCATCGGGAAGCGAGAGGACTCCAAAAAGGGTAGAAGTATGCATTTGCTTTTAAATTAAAAGTGGCATCAGAAGCGCCTTTATACTGCAGTTTGAAGAAGACAAAGGGGTCCTCCACCCTCACCCCCAAGAGAGCACCTCATTACTGCCACTCTCTGCAGGAGCACAGGAAGCTGGCTGCAGCCACTTGCAGCCCTGTGCAGGCCTTGGGCAGAGCCCCAGAAGTACTGCAGCACCAATAACCAAGACAGAGAGGATCATCACAGGCTCTCAGAGGATTATTTGTGATGATAGGCAAAAGGGGAAGTTCTACACTTACAGCTGAGTCGCTTGCAGACAAGAGCTGTGGGCAGGGAACATCATTGCAATGCCTTTGCTTATTAGACTATGCTAACGTGACTGTGCCTGTAAAAAGATCCCTGGAGTGTTGAAGGACCAGGGCAGGGGAAGCAAAAGACTGGCTTACTCCGCAGGTATGCTGTTAGGTCACTGTAAGATATGCCAGGTGTCCCTGGAGGCCCTGGTGGTCCGGGGAGCCCAATGTTCATCCCAGAACCTGCGAAATCAAACAGATCCGACAGTGGCGTGTTAACTGAAACAAGCCACGTTACTACGCAAGTCATGCGGCTGGGGAGTGTGCTTGTGGACAATGCCTTGTGTGGGGTGGAGTGCTCCCATCAGCAAGCTGGGCTGGGAAGCAGGGATCAAGCCCTATTCCAGACTGGAGTTAAAAGCTGCCTGGTTAATTCAAATACAAGGGCACTTGCAGATGGGCAGGAATCAGTCCTTTTCCTCTACTCCTAGGAAGAGCTTTGCACGTCTTGCGAGTCCCAGCTGCCAGAGCCTGCTGGGACACAGAGCTCAGCTGTGACCCACCAGCTGATACATGTGCCGCTCTCCCTGTGCCATCTGTGCACAAGCAGCTCTGGTACAAAACAAGCTCATCTACCACTTGCTTTTCTGCAAACTTTGTGCCTCTGCACAATTTGCTATAATGAAGTGTCCTTGCTGATAAAATGCAGCTGTCCTGCTTGAGCTGCTGGGATACTTCTGTTAAACAGCAGTTTCCTGCTCCTCGAGCCAAAGAGGAGATTCCACCATCGTTGGAGCAGCCCATTAGTGGGATCTGGCTTCCAAAGGCAGTTCAGAGAGATTGAGCATGGACCAAGCTGTTGAGGTTGCCAGGATTAAGCATTTTAGCACTGCTGTTGGGGATGCTCCAGAGTCCTCGTTGCCCAGTAGTTCTTACATGTTATATTGCCACTTCACAGATGGGAAAGTGAAGCACGAGAGGTGGACGTTGCTTTAAGTAACTTTAAACTTCGAGGAGGGTTCATTGTCTGTGGTGCCTTGACAACCAGTGAGAGGAGATTAGCTCTTCCACAGAGAAATAGGTCCCGGCCACAAACACAGTAAGAAAAGTGGAATAAAGGCATCTGAAGGTGTTGATTTCTCTCACTACTGACTATTAAAGGAGCCCTTAAGGACAGCTAAGATGGCTAAGGTGATGTCCCCAAGATCAGTTTTTAGCAAAGCAAGAACTCATTTCTAGAGTCCTTGAACTCTTAGCCACAGGGCATCCTTGTTCTGCCCCAAGCCTCTCTCAAGTCCCTCTAAGGAGGTCTCTGTTCTTAGGGATTTGCTCAGAACCCACTGGGAGAGTTTTCGCTGACCACTTGAGCTTTCTGGTCAGCTGCCAAAGGAATAGAGGGAGGGCCACTCTAATAAAGACAGACCATTACTTGTCAAGTAGCTGATAACCCGTCTGGCCAGTTCATCATAATCCAGTGACAGAGACATGCCATCTCCCCCTGGTCCAGGAGGCCCTGGTGGGCCTTGAGGTCCAACTAGATACTGTCGAATTTCTTCTCCTGGAAACAAAAGATGTATCTTTTAAGATCGTCCAGCTGCTGCAGAGAAGCAAGGTGCTAGTGGTTCCCAGTCTGTGAGCTAAGCCCCTACTGCTAGAGTGACCACCAAATCTGTGCCTGCAAAGCTCTCTTTCCACCCTCTGCTCCCCTCCTGAGTGCGAGTTTGCCCTGTATACGGTGTCAGAAATGTTTGGGACAGATCTGGGAACCTCCTAGAACCTGGGATCAGAGTTGGATGACAATTTGAATTGCCCAAATGCAAAGGTTGCATGAGGATTGCTCCTCATGCTCATCTATTTCTTCAGGATACCCTGGACAACATCTTGTGTAAAGAGAATAAGAAGTGGGTCAGCTGGTGAAGATCATGCTGAGCTCTGTGGCATTTCAGTAGCTGTCAGTCTAGAGTGTGGAATCTGATTGGCTCCCCATCAAATCACATAACGAGGAACACAGTGCTGGCCAACAGAGTTAATACCTTCTGGCACAGCAAAATGACCCCCCAGTGATTTACCTATCACCCCACAGTAACAGTGTGTGTAAGAAGGAGTACAGAGCCATGCCTCCCACCCAGCTTGTCAACAAAGGCTTGACAGGGGCTTAGGAGGGGCAAGGAGGAATAGGGAGTCTTAAGAGAGGAGGAACTGGAAATAAGATCTCCAAGCTTTGGTGGGAAATTGTGGGGAATTTCTGAAAAGGAGGGGCTAGGCTGCTGCCACTTGGAGAGCTGAGGAAGGGAGGGGAGACAGCAGAAAACTGCAGAGTTGTAACAGTGGGTACGAAAAGTAAACAGGTGAGAAAGAACAGCTTCTAGAAAGCATGCAAACTCTCCAGTCCAAGACACACAAATCTATCTCCAAAGGGCTTGGAAGGAGACTTTGCAGGTCATTCAGCAGCACCAACAGCAGGCCTTTGCCATCTGAAGCAGCTGCAGGTACCACCAGCTGGATTGAGGCAGGAGGCTGGTAGGAAGGCGTAGACCTCCAGGCTGCTGGGATGCTTCATCTGTATCCCTTGTGTTTCCCTTTGGGGACACTTACTCTGCAGCATGTCCAAAAGTTCTTGGTACAAAACGGATGTAGTTGATATCGAACTGTCAAATGAATGATAACGACTTGAAGAGCCTGTGGAATGAAAAGGTTTTATGTCAGACAGGATTTAGAGGAGGGAGAAGGTGAAGAATGGTCGGCCAGGGACAAAGGAAAGCTGAAATAATCCAGTTTAACTGGTGGAATGGGCTTCCCATGCAGAGCACCAGGAATCAGCTGCTGTTTCACAGCATACACATTTTCACAGTGGTTTGATCTCTGCTCTCCTGACTGAGGAGATCCCAGGCTACTTCCAAAAGCTCTGGAAATTTCATCGACTCCAGGAGGGCCCAAAGCAGACAAGACAATCACAGGGTTTCTAAGACCACATGCACCAAATACAGCCATCTTTGTTTGGGTCCTGGAGACCTTATAGGGTCAAGCAACTGATGTTTAAGGTCAGACTGCTTAAACAGCAGAAAGTGTTAGTTAATGTAATCATTTTAAAAAGACAAGGCTTAGAGGCCACCTAGGCTCTGCAGAGTCCTGGGCCAAGACTGTAGAAGACTCATAACTGGGTTGGAGGTCAGCTATTTAAAGACTGTTGTCTCTCCTCTGGCTCTCATCATCTGGGTGCTGCACAAGTTCAGCTGAGAGTGTGACTCAGTACACACACTGCTTACCAACACAGGAATACAGTACTTACCTGTCATGTAGCTCATAACACGGGCAGCCAGCTCCGCATAGTCCAAATTCTTTCCATCTGCCATAGTGATGACTCCAGGTGGGCCGGGTGGGCCTGGTGGGCCTTGGGCACCAGTCAAATAATGCCTTACATTGTCACCTAGGTAGGAAGCCCAAGACATGCCCACGTTAGTAGAGAGAAGGTGATGGCCGAATGCACAATGACTGGACCCTCTTCCTCTGGCAAAGAGCAGGCCCTCAGAAGGACAGTTCTGCAGAGGCCACAGCTGGCAATAGCACCTCAGTGTACCCAATATAAATAAGGCCAGAGCCCTTGGTCTGCTGCTTCTAAAGGGAGAGTGACAGGAGCAGGAAGGAGATCAGCATGCACCCACTGACCCTTGGCAAAGTCTGGTTATACTCACTCTTCAGGAAGTCAGTGACATACTGCTGAATCTCTTGAGATGAGCTTCCACCTGGGCCAGGAGGACCAGGTGGCCCGGGAGGTCCTGGGGGTCCCTGAATTTGTCTGGATCCACCTACATAATTCATTTTAGGGAGAAGGAAAGGTTATGGCATACCTGGATCCGACCAAGCAATGCTAAGGGGATGTTGGCACTGAGCCCTTCCCGCAGGCCTGGAAAGAGCTTTGGGAATCGACTATGGAGTGCCTCTCCCTCCATCTCCCAACACGCTGAGCACAGGCTATTAGATAGTATAAGGCTTCAATTAATTTGGCGACTTATAGTCCAGCTTACGCAGCCCTACAGGGCCACATCCAGAGACTTCCCTGGCTTCACGCTTACAGAGCTGGTCAGTCTGCAATGCTGTGCAGAAATATGGACAGGGATCCCAAGCTCTTTAGGCCTGCCTCACAGCCCTGCCGCTCCTGGTCCCAGCCAGCCTGCAGCACCAGCTCAAGAACCTCCTCACTGGTCTCCATTGCAAGGTATGGGTGGGTCCTTTGTGACTCCTGCCACTGCAGTGTCCAGGCACCTCAGGCTCTTCAGGATGTCTATCTTTCCAACACCCTGTGGTAGTATTCCTCCTGACATGGAGGAGCAGAGGACTTGTCCACATGGAGGACCACTCAAGTTAATCCTTACTCACTTTTAAAAGCAATTTGTTAAATTGTGTTAATGATGTCCTGCATAGAGAGATGTTCTTGTTCAGAATGAAAGTGGCTTAACTCACTTGCATCCTTCTGGTGGTAAATGAAACTGAGCAAAGGGCAATTTTGGTCTGAACAAAAGGATTTCCACAAGAGAGTTTAACGCAGATTCCCTAATCCCCTCTAGAACATGGCTACCCAACCAGGACTCCCTTTCTTTCATGTCCCATGTGGACAAACTTTGGCTGAAAGATTTCCAGTAAGCTGGAAACATAAAACTTGCAATTCTTAAATTATCTGATGTGGGCAGACTATGAAGAAAGTGGTTTTGAACATAAATCCCATTAGCCTGAGGGCAGCACCCACAGCTGTAAAACCCACAAGAGCCTTCTGCAAGTCTCTGCCAGGGATGTCAACATTTCCTGATAATATTAGGGAGATGATGGTCTGGTCTCTTACCTCGCGATGCTCCTGGGATGCCAGGAGCACCTGGGACACCTGCATCACCTGGAGAACAGAGAGAGGGAGACAAATAACTATTTTGAGTGTTACTGCATGTTGCATCCTGGGTCATGTAAAAGGACAGAGCTACATGTTCCCAGAGAAGTCACCATCCACAGATGTTGGACTGGAAGCTTCTTGGGGAAGAACAGAAGAAAGAGGCTAAGGCAGCCTTCCCGAGCCTTCTGTGACCCACCTAGGGGCCTTGTACTCAGAGCAGTGCAATTGCCAGGGTCCTACCATACCTCAGAAGGCAGAGGTTGGCAGAGCTCTAACTCCCAGTGGACCAGTCTGTTCCAGCCTCTAGTCTCGATCAGTCATGGCTGTGTGAGGCCAAGGACAGATGGAAGATTTTAACTTTACCTTTGGGTCCTGGAGGGCCTGGTGGGCCTGGAACTCCTGGAGGTCCCTGCATGGTCACTCTGCCATCTGCCAATCGCAAAGGGAGAGTCAGATGCACAGGAACAATTTGCACAGGAACAATTTTTGTCCATTTTGTGTGGACAAAATCCTGGCTCCTCTAAAACTGAGCTGAAGTCAACACAGCAGGATTTTACTTCCTGGTTTCAGCTTAGGGACAATGAATCAGAAGAGGAAAGGGGGCACAGACTGACCGTGTGAGGAGATTCCTGGGAGGCCAGGCTCACCGGGTTCACCTGCATTGAATACAGAAACGGAGGAGCAGTCACAAACACTGGCACGCACTGCACCTGCTGACATTCCCTAGAAGCCTCCTTACCTGTGAATCCTCGTGGGCCTGGTTCGCCTGTGAACAGGGAAGCAGAGAAGCATCATTAGCCTTTGCTTCATTCTGATCTGCAACAGTACCCAAGCCCATGCAGCAGAATATCATCGTGGCCACCAGTTTGCTAGGCTGCAGTGGGTAAATGGATTAGATCCTCTATCTTCCATCCAGCCCAGAGGTAGGCTATGCTTAAGAGGGCCACCTCCTTGCACTGACATAGCCAAGTCCATGCTGCCTTTTGCAAACAGACTGTGCTCCTTTAATGGCAAATCTGAAGCTCTGAATGGCCCTGAATCTTAGAGGCTTGTAAAGTTGGGGTCTGACTGCTTTGACGCCAGCGCTGGAAGCCAAATAATATTCTCCCACAATGACTGACTTCTTTTACAGCAGCAGATAGGAATCCTACTTAGTGACCACTGTGCCAGCTCTCTTACAGCCACAGAAAGGCAGGATAGTTTCTGCCTCCAAGCCCCTTCTTACTTATTTTCAGTTGGAGGGGCCAGTGATCCCTGTTTTCTGGTATCTTGGTGAGGCAGCAGGATATACGCACCTTGGTCTCCCTTTGGGCCTGGTGGGCCTGGTGGGCCTGTGAAGAATGTTTCTGGAATTAAAACAAAAAGGTTTTCATGACATTCAACAGAACAGGGCACATGTCCCCCAGGGCTCCATCTGCTCACAGCCAAGGAGGTAATGTGCTCCCTGGAACCAAAATGGGCAGTTCCTTTTCAGGGCACAGAGGAGGGAATGAGTAAGTAGAGCCTACCTGAGGTTGGCGTGAAAGATCCTGGTCTCCCTGGTGGGCCTGGAGGTCCTGGCAATCCTTCTCCTAGGCAAGAGGGACACAAACAGGCCTCAGAAAGGATGAGCCTCAGGAGCGTGACAGACTGAGTGACAGCCCTGGCCCTAGCCAAGTGCTGGCTGGTTTCATCATTTTCTCCACTGACATCTATCCCTGTTCATTATTTTCATTATCATTTGTCACCATAGCAGACCAGGGGCATAGAAACTCCCTTTCTTGTGGTACAGAGGGCCAATCCGAGCTGGCCTTCCCTGCACTGAGAGGGAAGGTTCATTCAGGCACACCTGACCTGCCTCCCTTTGCTACTGAGCAGAGAGCAAGGAACGGGGTTATGCTCCTGTCTTGTCCCCTCCTGCACCTCTTCTCTTCTGGCTTTGGGAGGGAAGGAATCACTGTGCTACAGGAAGGGGAAAGGGGAAACGTTCTTCATGATATCTGCTCCATCTGCCCCAGCTAGAAGTTAAGACTGGACAAGTAAGAAGTAAAGACGGAAGCGGTTCCAGTTGCTTCCTTTAGGGACTTGAGCAAGTCCAGCGTCTTCCCAAGAAGTATGACTTTTATGACTTACAAGTCTAGCTAGCAGACTTCTGCCAAAGCAAATCTTCTTCCCTGGGCAGCATTATTCTTGCTGCTGTGAAACTATATTGCAGTGAAGTTGTGTTAGTAGGAACCTGCTATGTGATAATCTGGTCCCAGTAAAGTCAGTGGTAAAGATCCTATTAACTTTCAACAGGTCCAAGACTGCATCTGGGATACTGCAGGGCACAGGACAGAGGCACTGAAAAAACCTCCCACTTTCCAAGTTTGTTTCAGAGAATCAAGCTCTTACCTGGGGGGCCACGAGGTCCAGGGGGTCCCTGCACAGATTCACCTGATGACCAAAGAAAGAGAAAATGTTACAAAGTATTTACACAGCAAACTGCATGGCCCAGAAACACGCCATGTGTGTCAGCACGCCCCTGCTTACGTACTGAGCTCTACTATATTACGTACCTGGAGGTCCAGGGGGACCTGGTGGTCCTGCTCGCCCTTGTAAATCTGCCAGCACTGTGCAAATGAAACACAGAAAGGGAAAATTGTTGCTACTGAGCTATTGCTGTTATGGAAACACTGTCGTTGCGTGGCTGACAGAAGCTCTTATCCTCAAGGGTGAACTAAGGCAGAATCTGGGTGACCTGAGTTAAAGGTGAGGTGGAGAAGAGAGAGGACGGATGTGCTCAGTTGGCAGCCTGGCGATTAAGTCAAGAAGCAAAAATCAGTGCAGAACAGGCTGGCAGCATATAGGAAACAGAGAGGGGATCTCTCTGGAGAGTAAAGATAGCTGAGTGAAAGAGCAAATGACCCAAAGAGTAGAGAAGGAGGGAAAGAACTTCCATGTAGGAGAAGGATGCTCTCAAAGAGGGACAAGATTTGGGATGAGAAAATTAGGTAGCCATAACAAATATCTGTCCTGTATTATCTTGAGTGGAGATGTATCCACACCTCCAAGCTGAGGCATAAACTCAAAGCTCAGCGATGGCTGAGATCCCTAACTCCAGAATGGGGGATGGGACATAGTGAAGCATGGTCCAGATCTACATGACCCCACTCTGGGGCACACAGATGGTGATCAGGCAAGCACCATTTATAACTCTATGCCCTCCTCTGCCTTGCCTCTCTTGCTCACTCACAGAGAGTTCACAGACCCTACAAATGCTGATTGTAAGTGCACCACACATTTAGTACCACACAGAGCAAGCAGGCACTTTCCACAGGATGCTGCTAAACCATTCTGTTCTGCTCCACTTATTTCCATCTTGAAATAGGATTTCTTCCCCTGTGAATTCATCCTCTAATTTGCAGAGAGATTTTGATTTCCTTCCTTCCCTGTTGGATTAACATGCCGTTTCAAATTGGTTCTTCCTTTGCAGATGGCTCTATGTTCACATTACATGGGGAACTGCCCAGCACAAGTACAGTGGCTAGAGGGCCTGGCTGAGATCCCACAGCTTTGTGACCATCTTGGCTGTTGGAGACTGTCCACCAGTCACCATTCCTTAGCTTACCTCTCTGTGAAATAGGCCTGGTACCATCTACCTCTTTTTGAAAGCACTTTGGGATGCACAGATGAGAAGCACGATAGAAGAGGTGGCTGATACTGCTATCGTGGTAAAGGTCTGCCCGCCAAACACACACACACTCTTGCCCTGTGGCATGTTGAGGGGAAGAGGTACCTCCCTTTACCTCTCTGTAAGCAGAGCTGGAGGCCTCCAACACCTCTCCAGGCAAAGAAGTGGAAAGCCAGGCCCACTTACTCTGAGACGTTAACGATGAGACTTCTGTTTTGATGGTTTCTATCACAGCTTCACCTGCGGATCCCTTCTCACCCCGTGGACCTTTTTCAAGAAAAAAGAAAAGGTGAATTAACTGAGAGAAGGTGACACTGTGCACCCATCCTCATCACCCTGACATGGATTCAGACTTGGCTCACGTGAACCGGGAGCCTGAACTGGGCTCCCATGTGAACTGGGAGCTTGGATGGACATTTTCTCAAATATGGACATTACTGCACAGTTTGCTTGATCATAAAAAACAGGATAAGAAGGGTCCTTAGGAGGAGCTTCCCAAGCTTTCCGAGCTCTGCACAGGCCATTCCCAACAGATCTCTGTCCAACTGGCAGTGATTTCACAGTGACATTATTACCAATTAGGTTCTAGTTTGTTTTCCTGCCTTTCAAAATGTGCTGGGCTATATTCCCCACCACAGAAAGGCAATTGCAACTGAGAAGTGCTTTAGAAATACCAGCCTCCAGATAAAATAACAAGAGAAAAAAAAAGATATCTGCAACTTCCACATCACACTGGCTCTTACCATCCCCCTCCTTCCCCTAGGAAGGGAAAAAAACAAAGAACAGAAACTCTTTAAAAGATTAATTAAGCCCAATAATGCAGCAAAATGAACTGAAAGGAAGAAATCTGCAAACAAAGGGAGAGAGACTGTACCAAGGGCTGAGAGAATTAGAAATAAAGGAAAACTAATGAACGCAGTCCTCTTAAGGAGCTGAATCAAGGCTGATGGAGAACAGTACCTTGCTGTCCAGGGAGACCAGCTGGCCCAACAGGACCTGGTTTCAAAGGAAAAAAAGATTGCATTGGATTTTCCTGGTTATATTTTACAGTAGCAGAAGAGAATCAAGAGGTCTTTTTCATAAAGAGCTGAGACCATCAAATAATGCATTTGCACAAATAAACTGAATTGTGATAGGGTATGAATTCATTAGTCTGATATATTACTTGAGGCTCTTGACAAGTGTCTTACTTTCCGTCATCTGGTAATTAAAGTGCTTGCTGCTTCTTAGACTGGGAAATAACCAGATTCCTACAGACCACAGTAGAAGTGCAATAGACCTAATCCTCTTCTTGCATTTTCTGCTGCAAATTACGACTAGCTCCACCAAGCTAGTTCTAAGTTTAGCTCCAGTGGCACAGCTGGGAAAGGAACAGACGTGCTGTGAGAACAAGGGCCCAGGAACTGCTGCCTGATGCCAGTGTGCTGGAGGGCAGTGTCTGATCTGGGACAGAAGAGTCTGAGGACCAAGTTCACACATAGTGTGTGTGCATGTGTGTGTGTGTGAAGGGTCATATTTCCAGATGCTCATGTGGGATTTCTGCTGTCTTGAGTTCAAAGCTGAGACTGGAAAATAAGTCTTTTCTGATTTCAGTTCTGGAGACAGGATGCACTGAGAAGGGATTAGACACAGGCCTGCTTCCCTGAGAGGCAAAAGGTCTTGATCTGAGTTGCTGGATTTGATCTATCGCTAGTTTGTACTCACCAGATCAAAGGATAACAGCACTGCTCCCAGTTTCTCCATCTTCCCAGCCTTCCCTTCTGTTCTGCCTCCCTGTGATCATTCCCCATTTCTCTCTCGATGCCACTACCTCCCTAATTCAGCCCTAGATCTTGCCTTTACGCTGTGCAGAGACCATGGGCAACACAGAAGGGTGAGACCCTTAGGTATCTAGACTGCCTGAGCATAAAGAACTGGGTGGACAGAGATGCAAGCTGCCTGGGAAACCACAACAGAGAAGCAGCTTCCTCACCTGGAACACCTGGTGGGCCTGGGGGACCTGGTGGGCCTGGGGGACCTGGTGGGCCTGGCAGAGCAATAGTTGATGAACCCTCTGAAACACAAATGCATACACAAATAGAGTGAATCTGTAACAACTTCATCCCTAAGCAATCATTTGACCAGCTATAACATGTATTCTCCAATGGAGGGAGACCCTAGTGCAGGGCTGGCACCCAGTCAATTGCATAAAAAAATGCAGAAAATCCTCCAAAGTTTAGGTGTTTGAACTCTCACAGCAGTACATACCAGCACTTATAACTTTGCCTGGAGCTCCAGGTTCTCCTAAGAAAAGAAAAAGATGAAAGATTAACTTCTTTCTTTGGGAAGTTCCGCCACCCGATCAATGACATTGTCCTATCAAACACGTGGTTTCTGTTTTCTTTGCTCTTGATCTCTTGTCCAATAAACCACAGCAGTAGAATGTCACAGGGGAAGACAGAGCAACAGAGCTCTGTTAATCCACAGATAGCCCTGATAGCTTTCCGAGCACTACATCTGCCAGAATAGGCAATGGGCCCTCTTCTTTCTGAGAGGCAGGCACAGAGCTTCCACTGCAGTCACCAGAGCTCATGCCCATAAACCCAGGACAAAACCAGGTCTGCTAAGGCTGTCTCAGAGGGAGAACTGGTGTGCTGCCTTTCACGTGCTCACAGAGGCTTTGATTACTCTCTGTTCCTCACATCTTCTTTTCCAGAAGCCACTAGATGCCACTGTTGATTCAGGGACTGGACAGCTGAGCAGACAATCCTTCCTAAAATTAAGTGCTTAGAGAGCAAAAGAGTATGAGGGAGGAAACAAAACTCACCTTTAGCCCCTGGTCGGCCTGGGTTGCCTGGAAGCCCTGGTATGAGGTAGATGAACAATTTAAAATGGTTAGTGCAAATACTGTCTTGGGTTTTTTTTCCAGGTACCCCAGTGAGTTTTAGCTTTGGTTTTATAGAAGAAATTTCCCACTAAAGACATTGGCTCTCGGCATTTATATGCAGGTTTTACCTACTCCACAAGGTCCCTGACACCAGGTGGAAGAATTCACAGTGAACTGTAGACAGAGCTGGTAGTGTCCCTGGGCAAAGGTAAGGGCTTCCCTTCTCCCACTGCTCCCTAGATTTACCTGTTGCTTCCCACAGGCACTGCCCCCCTGTTCTGAGGCTCCTGGAGAAATTCCCTGGCAACTGCTCCCCAAACCACCTCTGCTTGCAGAACATCACATCCTCTGTTGCCACTTCCGCTGCTACCTTCTCTCCTCCCAGCTTCTACAGCTAGTTAGAAGGACTGTTCAGTGACGCACAGGCAACAGAAACACCTTCTCTGTAGCAAACTACTATGTTTCCTCTATGTACATAGAGGAACTACTATGTTCCTCTATGGGAAGAGGTAAATTTTCAAACAGTCCAAGGCCCTATATTACTCAAAACTTACCCCCCAATCACAGAACCTGTCTCAAGACCTAAGGGAGAAGCAGAAACCTTGGGATCCCACTTCGGAAGCCCTGAGTGGTGCAGGGGGGACACTACAAGGGGATTTTAGGTCCTTATCAATGCGTGTCATTGATAAAATGGAACATGGTGAAAAAGCCTACCTGGGGGTCCTTGGGGTCCTGTGAGACCTGGAAAAATAAAAGCAAAAATTGTAAGAGATCTAAGCAAATTGGGGAAGGGGAAAGATAGGCAGTGGAAAAAGATCACTTTTGCTTAAAATTATAGCCCACAGCCCACAGGTGATGTAAATTGGCTTAGCACCCAGTACATAAATTGAATGTTGCCCTATAGCAGCTGATGTTCTTGTCTGCAGTATGTGCAATCCTGATATCACAAAGGGTCGAGACTCCCTGTGTCTTTCCCTTCCATTACCCTCTTACTACACAGAGACCTTTCCAGTGCTTTGACTGCCAGCCATAACTTCGAAATGAGACTGGAAATCATTGACAGAACCCACTGTGTTCTTGACTGAGCAAAAAATATTTTTGTTCTCTGTCTCCTCTTACCTGGCTGTCCTGCATCTCCGGTGGGTCCTGGTGGGCCTCGGGCTCCTGGCATTCCCATAAGACCTGGCTCACCTAGGAACATCATCACCATTAACAACCCAGATGTCATTAACTTACAATCTACCAACCCATTCAAGCTTTACCACCAGCTGTCCCTCAGCACTTTCTACCTATTGTACCCTCACAGTCAAGTGGTCACTTTCAACCTCACAGTCTGGGAGGTGAAAACCCACAAAAGGAAAGAGTTCTGTAGTGAGCAGAGATCTGGCACAAGTTTACAATCCGCTTCATCACATGTCTCAGTTCCATACTTACATGGTTGACTCTACAGTTTTTCTGAGACAGCAAGATTCCAGCACAGGAATCTGCTGCCATCTTCTACCACCCCTTCTACAAATCAACCTCCTGCCAAGTCAAGAAGTATCTGCTCTTCTACCTCAAAGGAAGAGCAGTGAGGGAGGAAGAATCCCTTACCTCTTTCACCTGGCTGCCCATCACGGCCAGCTGGTCCTGTCCAAAGAAAAGAGGTCATTAGGCACTTCTGAAATAGTACCTCAGTTGCCCTACCCTCATACTAAGTGGTACATAGCCCAAAACACAAGAGAGGGGCTTTTCATCATATTACATCTGAATGAAACCGTGGATGCAGTCACTGAAGAGCCAGAAAAAGTTCGCTTGAAACTTAACAGTAGGACAACTTTTCTGAGTATACGGATCAACCTTAGCTACTTAGAGAAGAGACCTGGGATCACAACCAGTATGACCACAACCAGTATGATTCCGAGTCGTTCCCTTGTCTCTGCTCACAGAAATGGGCTCTGTGGGTAGAAATGGCGTTGCCCCATGCATAATCACGTCTGTTTCCTGTTACCTACCTACTGATCCCTTAGCCCCTGGCTCTCCCGGAACACCAGGCATTCCTCTTAAGCCTTGTTCACCTGTAGGAAAAAAAAAAATCACACAAAAATGAATCAAATACGTACTGAAGATACAATTTATGACTGTCAGCAATATTTGCTTATTTGCAACTGAAAAAAGGCTTTGACAGGATGATCAGGCCTCATAATTTGTGACTGCCTCTGGCACCAGAAATGCTCAAGTGAAGTGAACACAGTGCATGTGAGGGGGAATTTCTCTAAAGCCAAACACAAACATTTCTCCCAAGACTACTGGAATCAGGATTGGGATCTAGTTGCTTAAAACTGCAAAAATATAAAATCAATATAACCACTAACATCAGTATAACCAATATAATCAATATAATCATTATACTTTTTTTTAGAAAGCTGGCTGCGATTGGCTGGGCTATACTGTTATTTGAAAACTCAAATAATTCATATGTTCGTTAGATAGAGCGTTATCCCAGGCAAACAACGCACTGACCTGTCATTCCGCGAGCACCTTTCTCACCCTGATCACCTACAGAACAAAAAGGGAAGGATTTTGTGAGATTGTTTCATTGTAAAATATTTCTGTCAGAGAAGAAGTCCGATTTCTGATAAAAGCACAAAAGAACAAGCCAAAGAAGGACAGAGTTAATCCCCATGGACAGTATCCACATCTAAAGCAACTAAAGCATCTAAAGAAAGTACCCACAAAAGACATTTAATTGATCAACATACCTTTTGGTCCAGGGGCTCCAGCAGCTCCTTTCTCACCTGAAAGATGTATCGATGATTGAAGAAGAGTAATAACAAGTTGGAAGGTAAAGGGATTTCATGCACCAAGGAAAACCATATGGGAACACATGCACTCTGATATAGAGAAACTCAAACTGGAACTTCCTGTCCTTCAGTACAGCTCCATCCATCCATGTTTCCTCTTCTCTATTACCTCTCTTATCTCTTGTATTTCTCAATACTTGGTTGCAATCACTGAGCTAAGTCTCTTTCCTCCTCCCCTCTCCTTGCTCATAGGCTTGTCTCTGTCCCTACGGTCTCAGTGCTCCATGCTCAAATCAAGTCTGCTACTAAGAGCAGGGGTGGAAAAATACATCTGCTAGTGCTACTGTTATTGTTCAGTGGAAGAGGAGCTTACCTTTAGCACCTGGAAGACCTGCTTCTCCTCTAAATCCTTGTAGGCCAGGAGGACCTGAAGAAAAATGAGATGGGGAGGTTAATCCATCCCACTCACCACAAGCCATCACTGAAGAAGGAAAATTATCCAAAGTTGTCACTCCATTTTTGTTTTCTCTAGTCTATGAGGTGCCATACCAAAGGAATGCAGCACTTACCTGGAGGACCCTGCGGGCCTGGAGAACCCATTAGACCTGTGAATAAGCACATGAATTTTCTTTCAGTAACACCACAATTCAAAAGTGAACAAATTTATGTGGGTTTGCCTAATAGCATCCACAATCCAATAAGTATTTATCTGACCAGGATCCTCCCAGCTACTAGAAGAGTTTACATCACTGGCATCCTCAAAATCAGGACATTAAATCTGCACAGTTTAGTTCTTGTGACCTAGGAAGTGGTCTTCCCTGAACTAAGATAAAAAGATTCAAGCCTTCCATATTGACTGAGATACTGGAATCTGGGTTTCAGAAGGAGCCATTCTTTATAGTGCAATTTTGGTCCCAGTTATGTGGACTGCCCACTGTTAAGTCTATTAACAACCTGTTAGGGATATGGAGTTTTCTCCATTATCTCTAAAAGCAGGGAAAAAACAACTGGAAACATAACAAATCTTCAAGATTGATGCTTTGGGGAAACCTCTCTGCCAGCCCCCACTCTCACTAAAAACCCTCAAGAACTTACTGCTCTAAAGGTTATGTGCCTCTACCAAAGCAAGCTTTTTCTAAAATGATGACCATTACATTACTTTTCTGATCACTGCAGTGCAACTCAAGTGGAACAAGAAGACTGGAGTGGTCATTGCTTCCTGACAGGACTCCTAAATAGGCTGCCAGGTTATCTCTGCCCATCCTCACATTTACCTTTAAGGCCAGCAGAACCAGGGGGACCAGGTGGCCCTGGAGGACCTGGCTCACCAACAACACCTGCAGAATAGGAACACGAACACATACTGTAAAATACAATTGTGATCCCATCTCTCCGTTCCCCCCACCTCCTGTTATCCTTTCTCTGGCTAGTATCACGAATAATCAGTAACTAATCTGTAGATCAGTACGAAACACCCAATAAGCATGCATTATTTGGGGGAAAAAACCCATCTCATTGGGCTTTAGGATGAACAAGGCTAGAATCCCCCAGCTTTGGTGGCTCGGACAACTGGAAGAAGATGACCCCGATACTAAGTACTTTTGGTTCTGCCAAAGTCAAACCTGACTGAGATCTGGTAAAACAAACAATACCGTGTTTGCCCATCGTAAACTTTGCATAAAACCCCCTTAGGCCAGCTTTGTTTGTTCTGGCAATCATCTAAAATGAAATCTGGATCTGAGTAATCAAAATAAAATCTTACCACTGAGGTATCTGGTAAATCAAGACCAAATTCCGGCTTTGGTCCCTCTCTGCTTTATCCAGAAAGGGTAGGCCTAGTTCCTACCTCTGTCTCCTTTTTCTCCAAATCCAGGTGGTCCAGGTTCTCCTCGAGGCCCTGGTAGCCCTTCTCGACCTCTCTGTCCCATGGGACCTTCCATGCCAGGATCACCTATAGGAAACAAATGCCTTGTAATAAGGGTCTCTTTACAGAAGACCTAGGGAAAGGAGTATCCTCGCTCACTTCCTTGGAGATGGCAATGATCATGCCAAGCTGATGCCTGTATTCCCATGCGTCAATCAGTTGTGAGAGACCAACAGCATTAATCAAGATGCTTACCCATGCTGCCTTTCTGTCCTTTTGGTCCTTCTGGTCCTTGGTGTCCAATTGGACCAGGAATGCCTGGAAAGAAAAACACGACAAATATTCAGAGTCCTTATCCAAGTAATGTGATTGAATGACATGCAAATAAGGGGCATCTGTGAAGCTAAAGTCTGGAAGGATTCAGCACCTGGGCTAAAGAACATATTACTTGCAAGGTGGGTACTTGAATAAGGGATTTCTTTGGAAAAGCGCAGTACCTATCTCAGAGCACAAGAAAGTTGGGCCAAGTGCTCATGCAGCTGTGGGACCCTTTCAAAGTTAAGCTGGGATGTCCACACTCTCAAATTAGGCACATTCAGTTAAATGGAAGTCAGGCTGAGGCCTTGCTTGTAACCAAGTCTCTGAGCTGTGTCAGTAACTTAACATCAAGGCATTAATCAAGTGAATTAGTCCATCTGCTAAATACTGACCCCTTCTAGAAACATCTCAAGCTGGGTTTGGCACGTGAAATTTGTTCTTGCCAACAGTAATGCCACTGAACGCCCTCCCTCAAAAGGGAGTTGTTCTACCACCTACCTGGGACTCCAGGAAGCCCTCGCTCTCCTGTGGGGAGAAAGAAACAGATAGTCAGTGGGGAATAGATCTTCCCTGTTCTTTCTTTGCCTGGTCATCAAACTCCCATAAAAGAAATTTATGTTCCTGGCATATTTAGAAGTTCTACCCTCTCAAACAATGACATATAGGGCCCCTCATATTTGTGTAATGGATCAGATCCATCACACTGTGCAAAGTAAAGCACCTTTTTTGATTAAACCAGGTATAATTTAGCTTCAGTAATGATTTTCATCCAAGTGAAAGACGTTTCTAGATTGAAAGTGAGATCTGTTGTCTCTTCTACTGTGACCTCCAAAATTGTCTTTGCCAGCAAGAAGGGCAAAAAAAACCCAACCATCACAACAATATCTGAACCACAGGAGAGGAACTGATTTCAGATCCATCAACCTTCTACCTAACTTCTGGAGTAACAAAAATCCATTTGCTACCCAGGTGTCACAGCAGGCTGCCAATCTACCTGAGAAAGCATGTAACTCCAGACTCACCTTTGAGCCCTTGCATTCCCATGTCACCTGAGAAAGAGAAAAAAATCAGATCAGGAGAGATCCCAGACTATTTCCAATAATTGCTCATTTATTTTTTCTAGTTGCTTTCCAGCCCTCAGTGAAACAGGGGAATTTTAGGTGAATGTGGACACTTCACACCTGAATAGCATAGGATCAGACTCGTCCCACTAGCAACATACAGCACCTTGCCCTTCACACTGGCACAATGCAGGATTGGGTTTCCTGCATTAGTTCTGTGCAGGATTGGGCCCTCTAAAGTTTAAGTGGCAAACCAGCTTCGTGCTATTTTTGTTTAAGCGTAAACCTGCTTCACCCTTCTTACTGCCAGTTGCTCCTTCAGTTAAAAACCCACACTAAACTTGTGCACTGCCAGAGTAGAGGAACAGGACAGGGTGTACCTTTCAGACCAGGTTCTCCTCTCTCTCCTCGGAAGTAGCCTGCAACAAGAAATGAAGGGGCTGTTAGATTTCATGACACAATAAAATAGCTACTCTCTTCACCTACAAGTATCTTTTTAATTGGATTTTGAGGCCTGCAGGCAGCACAGGCTAACAAACACAGGATAGCTTTGGGAGCAGAGTTTCCTCAGAGCATTTGCCTTTGCAAATCCCAGAACTATAGAGTTACATAAAACCTCTGAAAGGAGAATGCATGCTCCTGTGGTCCCTACTCCTGTTTTTGACTCTAATACCCACTTTTGTCAGCCTTTTCCCATGATCTGTGAAATAGAAGTAAATCATCTTTCCCTTGCTACCAAAAGTAGCATGAGGAACAAGTTGGGGGGTTATTTTTCTGTGCAGTTCTTTCAAAATGGAAAAGTCACTTGCTACAGCAAATGTGACACATCCTGGCATACAATGGAACATCCACAGCCTCCTTTCTTCTCCTCTCCCTGCTGTCTTCGAGGGATGCACCACCAGCATTATTGTCAGTGGTAGCAATATGAGCCCCAGCATAGCCTGTCTATGAGGAGAGGTGAGGGCCCTAATTTGGAGAGACTGTATTGCACTCTAGCACTCTTTAGGTTCCCAGGCAATCAAAGCCTCCCACCCCCATCACAATCAAGGACCCTCCTCACCTCGTTCTATTTCCTTGTTCAGTCTGCTCTTCACCATCAGCCAAACTGACTCTTCATCTCCATAAGAGAAGGCTGAAGAGGGTGGCATGCCACGAACAAATTCTGCTTTTGAAACTTCCTTGTCTATATTCGCACTTGCTGGGTTAACTGTCAGGTAGCTGTCATTGATTCTTTCCAGGTCGTTCACACGAGATCTCAGCTGTCTCACTTCTTCCGCTGCAAGGTTAGAGTAAGACACTAGGGAAGACGCTGCTGCAGGCTCATGCCTGAAATACCTACTTCTAACAGCAGGGACAATGCAACACTGTCACACAACTCCGGCCACTGAGTTTTGCAGGATTCTGTGTCTCTTTTTTTCTAGCAGAAATATCTGGAGTTTAAATGACAGCTTTGGAACCTGTTAGTCTCTGAGGAGAATAAAGACATCAGATCTCAGGAATATCCTTACTTTCCTCACCCCAAGGCTATTTATCCCCTCATTGAAGGTTTATATTCCTTATTCATTCTTTCTGTCCATTTGTAGTATTTTGGTGGCACTCACAATCTTCAGCACTGAATATGCTCCTCCTCAGCTCTCTGGCTTGGAATATTTGGTAGGGAGTTTGGCCTCTTTGGCATTTTAAACCCTCTGTTACTCTTTCTATCCTATTCAGCATTTTGTTCCTCCGTATCAAACCTTCTGCTATAAGGAGAATGAGGGCCCTTCCTCCACAACTTTCCTTTCTCATTCTAGCTGGTTTCTGTTCAGTCCCAGCCTTAATTACACTTGAAGGTCTCTAACCTAAACCAGGTCTTGCCGTTATTTCTTACCCAGAGCAATGAGTCCAAAGAGCAATCCAAGAAGAAGCAACCAGGCCAGAAGCAAACCCAGGAGCCATTTCCACCAGCTACAGCAGGAACCACAGGGGCACCAGGATGGTGCTGATCCCACTGCACCCCCTGCATCACCACCATGTATTTCTGGAAGGGGGAAGGGACAATCTCCTGGTTAATGCAGGGCCTCCTTGACTTCAAAGTCAATAATCTCTTGAGAATAAGGACAGCAAGGTCAGATACATTATAAATAGGGCTATGGAGAAAAATCTTTGCACCTTACTCTGCACATGGTGGGTAAAACATAGTTGCTGTGGAAGCTGGAAATGGCATTTCCAATGGGAACCCCAATGGGGGACAACATTCAGTGCTTCCTAGAATAACAGTTGAAAATCATGACCCACCTTGGGCCAGTATGCTCTACAGTTTTGAGCCATAAATGACTGCAATAGCCAGCACAGTCCCTTCTGAGCCCCTTCCTCCCCATAAATCCTGGTATCAGGATGCAGCTGCATCATCAGCTAGCTGATTTCCTCCCTCAATAAATTGTGGCACAGCTGCCCACTCACCTAAAATCAAACCACAGGTGCACATTTCTCTGGTGCATGCTCTGCTCATTACAGGCAGAGTAGCCTCTTGAGCATGTCCTGCCTCTGATGTCATTACACAGAAATCATTCATCTCACATAAGGACGATTGTTTTTGAACATTGTGCTCTGCTGCTCCCTCTAATGAAAGAATCTGAATAGCACCACTTACCTGCATAAGTTGCTTTGTCCCTTGTTGGCACAGATTTTAGTCCTCCTGTTGCAACAGCAGCAAAAGAGGTCTTAATAGTCTTTCTATGCATGATCAAACTAGAAGTGTGAGATTATAAGGGGAAGCTGGTAATGGAGGCAGAACATAACTCTGTTGCATTGCTACAGGGACAAACTCTTACCATTTGCTTCTGATTTTAGGCCAGCATCTGCACCATAAGAGGAGGAAAATCCCTGCTTCTCTTTCTTCAAGGTGTCTTCTACAAAGGATCCTGAACAAGAATCATATGTAATTAAACGTATTACACCACCAGTTCAACCTGACCTATCTTCCTTTGTTGGCCAAAAGCGTGTTTTTCACTAGGAAGCCACAACAACTCTGCCAGTTTAAACCAGTAGCTGATCTAGCTTTTGCTTTCAAAGCTCCCGAGCTCCGGAGCTCTGTGAAATCTCCCTGAGGCACACGCTAGTGCTTCAAAAGTAAAAGTCAGACCTAGCCCGCAGCTTACATGGTTAAAAGCTAAATGCCCTTCTCCCTGCCTGCCAGGGTTTCATGTTTGGCTTGCAGGAGTTTGAGTCAGGTGCAGCGTGCAGAACTCTGAACTTCATAGATTGAGGAGACCTTATGGCTGCAGAGTTCTGCATGTGCAGGACTGGTCTTTATCGTACGTGTTCAGGCTACGCTGCTCTCACTGCAGCTGTGCAGTGTCTCTAGTCTCTAGTGTCTCTAGAATGTGCCCTGCAGATCCGCTTTGGGTGCTCTTTTCCCATATGATCACTCTCCATTTCTCTGCTCTAAGCATACCCACATGTCCTAAGGAAGAGAAGTTACCTCCATTGAGCCCAGTGGTAGAGGCACTAAAGACCTTGCCACTGTCCTTTGTCATGATCAAGAGCTCCATCTCCTTCTTGGCTGGGACATTCTCCTTCTCAAGCAGCAGGAACTTGCAGTCTTTGTGCAGGATGTCATCTCCCTGGGAGCTCAAAACAGTTCCTCCTGGAATATGGGTAGAAGATGTGAAAGAGGAGGAGATAAGTCTGGGGCCAACGAGTCACAAGTACAAACCACAGCACAGCTGTTCATTAAAACAGGAAGTCCCATTATGACTGGGGTTGTCACTACTATAAACTCATGGCAAGAGACACGCTGGTCACTGAGGCTGAGAGGAAAGCTGTGCATTTCATCAGATTTCTTTAGAGATGTGTAATTCATTAGCAGGGGAGTAGCTGCTATTGGAAATGAGAGCATTTGAAATCCAGTCATATATGGGAAAGGATTTGCTCAATAGCCTCTTTATTTCTCAAAAAAACTTACTACAGAATCATAGAAAGTCAGGCTGGGAGAGACATCCAAGGGTCTTCAAAGCTAGCATATCTCAAGCTGAGAGCATCACCTTTAGCAGAGGTACTCTGTGAAGCACAGAGCACTCTGTATCCTTGGGAGCCAGGTATGGTGATAAGGCATCAAACTGTTTTTAACTTACTGAGGTGGGGCTTAAGCCAAACGAGACTCAGAGGCATCAGTGTTGTCGCTCTCCTGCCCTTAGGCAAGAGGGTATATCAAGTATGTCTGAAATGGTGTACAAACCTGACCTTGCATGTGAATTGACACAACTCTGAAAATTAAGGTACCCAGACATTAATGCCATAACTTGAGCACAAACCTGGAATAAACATGTATTAGCAAAATTATCACAATTTTTATGGTATTTCTATCTATTTTTTAAGTCTTACCTTGGGAGTCCTCCGATTACAAAAGAAATCTAGCTTTCTTGACAGGAAAAAAAAAAAAGAAAGACTAATTTGCAGCTCTAGGAACTGCAGAAAAAAGCTGGAAAAGATGAATCCTAACAGTTCAAAGACCAAAGGCCAGTGGAAAGTCCTCAACAATTCTCATTGAAAAAAAAAACAATCTGATCATGTATGAATCAATACCCTGATTGGTTGAGGCTGGTACTACTTCAAAATGATGTGTTAGAGCAACCTTGCAAACGTGTGAGCTTCAAATGAAGTATGATTTCACAGGCAGGATTTTAAATGCAGTTGGCTATTGAGCAGCTGCAATAAAATCAACTAAGTTATTACAAAGTGGAGGAGACCTGAAACAGACCAGCTGACTTTCTCATTCTGAGCTTCTGGCTCATTTGCCTTCATTTCAGGAAGGCACTGGTGGGGGGCTTGGCTAGTGACTAGTTGTGCTTCTGAGGAGCTGTATGTTACTGTCACTCAGCTGGCTGAATCTCTGACTTATTTGTGTCATGATATGCTTGAATAAGGCCAGCACTCCACATGGCTTGCACAGCTATGTCTAAACAACTGTGAATGGCACACTCACCTGCTGAGGCAGACACGCCAGTACTAGCCATGGTGTTGCTCTGGGAAGTGTTCTTCAGCCCATATGCTGCAATGAAGAAATGCCAGAATAAAAGAGTTGGCTACCCACACCAGCCTTGGGCTGCACACCCTTTCAATAGTCTTTTCTCATTCGGGGCACGTAGGAGAGGACAACTCAAAGGAGTAAGGGCTTCCCCAGTGAAGAAATGTTTAGAGCTTGCACAGGCATTGAGAACCATTCCTCCACACGCAAAGTAGAGGAAACGCTCCTCTGTATCCTCTTACATCGCACTGCTGCACACCAGAAAAGGTGGCTGTGAAGAAGTCTCTGTCAACATGAACTTTCTAGCTGCTATGGAAAAAGTGGGAGAAGACAGCACACATTAGTGACTCACACAGTTTCTCTAGGCTTAAATAGTTGCTGACCTGTGGAGGCTGCAGTGGCATTTTGGGCCAGAGTTGCAGAGCTTGGAGATAGGTTGTTTTGAACACCAAACACTGCAGAGAAAAACAATGCAATGTGAGTTATGGGAGACCTGCAGTGCAGGTGCTAGGCTGGCTGAAAACAAAGCAAAATCAGTGAAGATAATGATCTCAGTGAATCCTGTTGGCTTGAAACCACCTCCAAGAAGCATCACAGGCCTAAGCATTTCTGTTCAAAGACCTTTCTTACAACACCCTTTTCCTCTCAGATCATTTTGCTGTAGAAGTTACTATTGGTCCAGGACAATAAGAGTGACCATTTCAAAACACTACCTTGAGTTAGACTGAGAAGCCACTCTCATGGCTGCATGCACATTTCCAAAGGAGGGGATTTGAGAAAAAGGATAAATTCGGAAAACTGGGTCTAGTCTGGCCAAGGAAAGTTTAAAGAAACAACCACACACACAATGTGTTGAAGTACTGTCCAGAGAGAAGCAAATGGCTTCGAACATGGCACTATGGGTGCCTGAATCAGTGTGGCAATGTTAGGACAGTGGTCAGACTGCTCTTAAACACCCTGCTCCCAGCAGGCCTAATCAGAGCCCTGCACAGTGACACTGTGCTGTGTAGAAAAATTGTGTGTTACTGTGAAAGGAAGAGAAGTGGTTTACTGACATAGAAGAGAGTCTGCTGGAAGTTATTAGCCAGGTGTAGCAAAGGAAAATTACAGACAAATTTGACAGAAGAGCAGTGGGCTCTTATGGATTAGGATATGTAAGTTTATCTTTCAAGGAGTTATCTTGTGTTGTCATGGGGGAAGAAACAGGTTGGCCTAGCAGATGTCTTTCCAAAGAGAAGTCATTCTTCTTGGGAAATCTCTAGTTTTCTCAGCTTCTCAAATAAAAACAGTCAGGCACTAATACCAGCTATACAGGGCAGACCTAGAGTAACTCCACTGAAACCAAAGAATAATGGTTGTGCAGATCAGTTGCTGACTCAGAGATCAGCAGCATAAGGAGAACAGAGTGACATAGGCATTACTTCAATGTATGGGTCTGCCAGGGCTGTTGCACTGTGAAAGGGTGAAGGGAAGAAGAGAAAAATCTGACCTGTTGAGGAAGTGCTCAGGCCCGTGTTCAGAGTGGGATTGCTGGGAGCCAAGTTATTTGGAACACCAAAGACTGCAAAAAGAAGAAGAAGTGAAAAGTTATTACTTCCCCGGAATCAGAATCCCAATGCCTGCAGGCCAGTGGCACAGCCACACAAATCTAAGAGTAAGGGTCAGTTGGAAATGTAGTTAGTGAAAATGCACAATAATTACACAGTGGAAAAATCTTGAAAATCGTGACACAGAACCTCTCTTGTACTGAACCCACAAAGGGGAGAAAATCTTATGTCAGACAAGTTGTAACGATGGGATAAGGTTAGAAAGCAAAGCCTTTAATAGCATGCTATCTTAAAGCTTCCTCTGCTTTTTCTTTGAGCTGGAAAATGCAGTATCCCTGGCATTTAGAAACGGGCCTCCCAGGGAATAATCAGTGCCAACATTTATTGACTGTGGAAGAATCTTTAATGTATAAAGATTGAAAGGTTAGGCCCAGTTATTCTTACAATGGATCAGGTTAATCCAATGTTAACTAGAGCCTAGCACTAGTTATGATAAGGAACTTGAGCCTGACCTCACTGAAGTCAACTATAAAGCTTTCATTAAAGTTCAGAGACAGATCAAGCAGTCAGGACAACTGAACCTCGCAAAGAAGGATTTTCAAATACAGGCAACGTAGCAGCAGAGAGCACCAAGTTACAGAAAATCAGAAAAAATTCATGCATATCCCCTGCTGTCTCCATTCTTCCATCATTTTAATTCTCCTTACTATGCAGAAAAAACACTGCTATTTGACCCAGTTTTAGTATGGAGTTACGTCCTTCAAGCAAACAGTAGAGCCCGGGAGGTCCAGGGAGGTACCTGATCCTGTAGAGTGAGACATAGCGTTGATCAAAGAAGAGCTCTGGGCCGTGCTGTTGTGGTATCCACCAAGGGAAGACCCGGCAGGCAGAGTAGAGGACCACATATATGAAGGGAGAGCAGTATTCAGTATAGTTGTATCATATGTCCCTGACACTGGGGAAAAAAAAAGCACACTCAGACACACACACAAAACAGTAGTGGTTTTCAATGAGACTTGGCGTGGGGCTTAGCATGCATTAAGGCATTCGAGGTTTGCATGGCTGACGACCTGATTTGCCTTAGGTTTCAATTACACTAGTGGAGTCAATGGAATGACTCCAGGTTAACATAGTGTAACTGATCTCAAGCACCATCTCCTCTCGGCTGGTGAGGATTTTAACCTGAATTTTAACCCATGGAATAAGGACTGATGTGAGACCATGACCATTCACAAAATACCTTGAGAAGATTTCATTGTTTGCAGATGCTACGATATCAAAACACTTAATGCACTTGGGTAGATGTTCTTGTCAACAAATCATCCTGGGGCATGATACCTAAGACTTTTGCTTCCCACGTCTGTGGCTTTGGTTGGTTCACTAGTGTATCTGGACTGAAATTCACAGTTTCGGACAGGATTTGAGCCCTCAGCAAGAAAAAAGGCAGGGCTTGTTCCTATATAGTGGTGGAGAAGATCAGAGTGAATGTGAACACTGTTGCTTCAAGGACTGTAGTGGTGCTTATAAATAATAAAAGCTAGTTATGGGATTATAAGCAGCATTTCTATTATTATTAAGCACTATTGACCTCTGAACCACACAGTGTGGCCAGTAAATCAAACACTGACCCAAGTGTTGTATTCGGTGTTACTCTGCTCTGAGATCAGAGACCACACTGCTCTAAGAAATGCTTGCTTACAGCCCTGGTCTCTGTCACCAGCACCTCTGAATTAAAGCAGGATTAAAGCTGAATTAAAGCAGGAACTGGCTTAATTTTATGGAAGTCAGACAAGGCAACAGAAAGCCACCCAGGATGTCCCTTGGTAGGGCAACATCTGGACAGCCCTGGCATTCTGACCCTTTTTATATTGCCACCACTGCCTGGGACAGAGACCATGTATTCTTAGTCTGATGTTCTCAGCATCTGGAGGTTTCTCTAGCAGAAATTGTTTGGGAAGGCTCCAGCATTGCTAACCTTCCTCTGCCACGTACCTGATTGAGAGCTCTCCGTAACCATTTTTGTCTCCACCACAGCTTTTTTTGGTATTGGGAGAGTACTTGACGGTGATCGAGTAGGGCTGCAGCTTGCTGATCGACTTCCTTTCAACAAACGTTTCACATCATCCAGCTCTGTCCCTGGCAGGAAAAACAAGTGTACAGGCTAGTCCAAAACCCATTGTTTCTTTGATGTGTTACCAGAAATGCCTCAGGCCTTGCATAAGGCAGCCAGCAAGACACAAGGTTATTTCAGAACCCTCTAGTACTTTTATTTGGGGAAATGGTGATTCACTTTTCCAGTGTCTCTTCCAGTAAAATTCTGCCCTGGTGAAACCACTAAGTAGAATTTACCCTTGAGTATCCATGAAGTTGTATACTATTCTTCCCAGCTCTCCCAGTCTCATGCAAGAGGACTAACTGCTGGGAGTAAAGTTTCAGTGAAAGGGAACATTTTACTGGTTCTTCAACAGGGAGTTTGCTGGACATTGGTCCTTGCCCAGAATGGGACAAGATCAGCCAGTATAATCTTGCGCTAGCTAACCCTCCTCATGCTTGTTATTTGCGTAACAAGTGTAGTGTAGGCTAATTCTGGGCTATGGCACAATTCCAAGTCACCAGACTAAAGCATTTTTCCAGAACTCCTTCCTTTCCTAGGACTGCCACTGACCTCAATAGCAAAGCTTCAGGGTCTCATTCTGGCAGCTAAGTACAACTACATCCTTGCAAGATCACCATTTAACCCACAGCACACCTCCTTGTTCAGAAAGGGGATACAAGTGAAATTTCTTAACACAAAAGGAAAAAGGCATGACCTGTCATCAGGAAGGCTGGGTCTCGGAGACATTGCAGACGCACCTAAAGTAGTAATACCCCCAGTGTTATACCTGATCCCTATGGAATAAAAGCCATAGAACTTACATCTGCCAGAGGGTGACGCGCTCTGCAGTCGGACTCGTATTTCACTTTCTGGGAAGAGAAAAAAAGCAGATGATGAATTTATGGAGTGAGGTGCCCTTGTGCTCTGGGCTGGGAATGAACCTTCAGACTGAAAGGAATTTCTTCCTTCTTACTGTCTGGGTTACCTTGCTGTTTGTTTTTAGAGCAGCACTGGTGGTCCACATGCATTAGCTGTGCATTGGTTTGGGACGCTTTTTGTTCTGGGGTCAGATTTTGCTACCTTTTTTTCCAGAGAACAGTTTTTACTCCTTGAGGTCCTCCTTTGAAGTAAATATCACTGTTGGTGCCAGACTAACACAAGGCCTAATGATGCAGTCCTCAGTCACACTGATATCTGCGCTCATCACCATTTGTTATTACTGTCCTACTGGGTATAAACCTTCAGAGCCACAAGAAGCTTCAGGATTTTAAGAATTACTAAATACACAAATCCCCTACCGCTTCTCTAATGAAACTCACGCTGTCAACCCTATAACAAGCTGTAAGATTTAGTCCCTTATAACTTGCTGACTTCTCTGTTGACTCCTTTAATATAATGTCTCTCTCGACAAAAAATTACCTTGAAATAAAACTGCCAGATTACAAACAGCCATTTATTTAAGCCAGCATTCTCACCAAATATTCAGTGCTATTACTAGGTTTTACTGTCCAGTACAAGAGACTACAGTTGATCTGATCTGGTTGAGGCAAGCCCTAAAGCTTGCTGTCCACAAGCAAACTGGCCAGCCACCGTGTGTGACACATGCTCCTCCAGATAAAATCTGATGGTGCTTGCATTACAAACGAAACACTGGCTATGGCACTCAGGCTGATGGATTAAGACTATTTTCTGAAGTAACAGGGGAAGCTGCAGCTAGTTCGCTGGTGTCCATTTTATTATGTATGGCATAGTTCTGCTGGGAGCTCATGCTTTCCCCGTGTTCTGTGAGGATCTGACGTAGAATATGTGATACTCTCCAGGAGGCATGTGCAAGAGCATACTCCGATTTATATCCACTGCTAAAATTAACTTGGATAAAGTGACATTAGAGTTGCCTTCTCAAGCAACTGGGAACAGATATTAAACTCTTCCAGAGCAATTTAATCCTGCTTTCTCTAATGCTGCTAATAAATTAGCAGAAGAGTTGAATGATTTAAACAATGTAGGGTTTTACAATGAGCTGGCTAAACAGACCGCAGCAAGTTCACAATTCCCTCACCATCTCCCTACCACCAGTGTAAGATCATTTCAGGGAATGGCACCGTGGTTTGTCAGACAGATCTCAGTGGAGAAACATGAATACAGTTATTGACGTTTCTGTGTTTAAATACTTCAAAGGAGGTCACAGAGCATGGATGGACTAAGTTTACGGGGGTGAACAGATTAGGCAAAAGAAGATGTCCTCTGCCCCCTGATGCCCAGCTCCCTAAGCAGACCCTCCTTTCTGACACAGCCCCAACCATCATAGCCTTCACTGGGATCAATTTTTACACCAAGCCTGCTTAAACGATTGCTCACAGATAGATGGTCCACATCTGCAATGGTGTAAATTCATGTAGCTTAGCTGACTGCTCCAGACTCAAACTGATTGATTCCAGCTAAGGAACAGGCCCATTTAATACACACCAAAACAAACCCAAGGAAACAAAGGAAGCCTCTGAAAGAACAGTATCACTCACCTCGACTTTGGCTTCGCCCTCTTGTGGAGGCAGATGCTGTGAACGGCAACAAGAGAAAAGCAACATTAGACTTCACTGCCTGCTGATTCCTATGAAAATGAATGCATGGACCTTGCTCAGAGTGTTGTGACTCAGGTAGTAACCTTCTTTACTTGGGGCACAGCTGGGGAAACTGAACCCTCAGAGTTTATGCCAAGCCTCCTTTACATCTCTATAGAGAGATCTCGAGGAATATGTAGCACCTCTAGCATTTCTGGACAAGCTGCTGTTCCTGTTTATACACATAAATATTGTTCATAGACCTTGATTTCACATGTCAACAGGCCAGCAGGAAGCTAATAAGCATGTTTACACCGTGAGCGAAGGTTGGATGCTGTGGAACCTTGACTCTTCTCTGAGCCAGAAAGATGGCCTAATCATACGGTTTTACTGCCCGCGCTGAGTAAAATCTGCAGCTTAAGGAGTGGACAGGGCAAGCTCATACCTGCTGACAATACGCAGTGTAAATATATCCCTTGATATCCAGTTGATCTGTCTAATTACACAACGTAAACATGGCCAAACCTAGAAAAGAGCTACTGGAAGCGTATATCCAACAATGGCTCAGAATTTTAAGGGGCTGGGCTTTCTCACTTGGAGATATTCCCCCGAGTATGGGCCAGAAAATACCATAAAGTCTTGCACGTCTATTTTTTCCTGTGCATGTCCTATGCTATGTGGGGGAGGTGGCTCATAAAAACAGCTGAGGTTAGCAGATATACAGTAAACAGCCTTTGCTGAAATACGTATCAGCTAAAGACCCTTCTCTCAGTTGTGTTAATGTAAATCCCAAATAATTCCTCAGAAGTCATAGAGCTGCACTGGCTGCCCAGTGCAGAGGCAGCATGCGTATAGCAAGGCACAGCAATCTTCTGCTCTCGGCAGGTTTCACCCCTCCTTGTGTTCTTATAAATGTGATGTGCAAAAAGCCATACAGTCACCAGCTGACAAGACCTTGCCATAATGTTCAGAGGAACGGCTCTGAAAGAACATACCAAACTCTTTCCTGGGGAACTCGGGAGAAGAGTTAGCACTGGAGCTCCCTGCAAAGAACAGAAGGGTGTTCATTAATACTTTGTACAAGATCATAAAAAGCTTTCCAAATCTATCTTCCTGGTACCTCTCTGATCTCACTGGATAAAAAACATTGCCATTTAAAAAGAGCTATTCAGAACTACATAAAAGAGCTGCTAATGTCCTTCAACAACAACATGCCACAATAACTGTTACGAATGAGCATTACTATAGATAGGACTCTTATCATTAAAACATGTCCCTTGTGGCTTATTTCCTAGTAAAAACCACAATGGGATTCCTGTGCTATTTGAGACGATCCTGCATTAATGTCCTGAAAGTCCCAGCTGACCTCACAGTGCATTACACATTGCCCCCATTCTACAGCATGTTCTGTGATACCTTCATATGTTGCATGGCGGGTGACATAGGTTTTCCGTTCAAATGTTGAGCCAGGTGATTTGGTGAGAGTAGAGCTGGGAGACTGGGTTTGTCTGTAGCCGGAGGATGATGATGATGAATTCATTCTAGTGCTTCCACCTATAGGTGAAACAAATCCCCCCTCAGCAAACTGAAGGATATGCCCTGGATATAGAAGGCGATGCTCTATGTTACTGTCTTCTGAGCTGGATAAATTTGTATTGGTAACTCAAAACTAAACACAGGCAAGAAACACACTCAGATCTAACTCTGACTGTCCTCAGAATTCAGTACAGAGAGGAGTTACTTTATGGTTTTAGAAGGAATATTGCCAATGATGTCAACAAGAGCAGGTTTGTACAGAGTCCTTGTGATCTCAACAGAATGCTTTCTTGCCCATTTTCCCCCTCTGCAAGGACCTGTTTTGTTCTTTGACTTCCCCACTTAACTCAGCAGAACGAACTACAGTGACAAGCGGGCCTCTGTTGGAGGCCTTCTCCAAGCAAAGCGGGAAAGCAGGGATCAGACAGCGTTTTGCAAAACTTTAAGAGCTCATTATCTCAGAAGTTCCTTCTCCACACACTGAAAAGAAGTAACAGGGGAGACGGCAATCCAGCAGAGTCATTTCAGTTAGAGTTTGCAGGGCTGGGTTCTGTTCTCATTTAGACTGATACAAATCTAGACAATTAGACTGTACTTTCACTGGAGTTATTTCACCTTTTCCTTGAGGTGAAGTGACTCCACACTCCGGGCTTCAATTGGTAAGGAACTGACTGTCTATCAGCTTGGAGTATGGCTAATTCTCCCTCTGAGATTTCAAACTACACTGCACCTCCTTTGACTTGTCAGCTCTTCTGGGGCATGGAGAATATGTTCTGATACACTCATTACCCAGTCTGTCCCATTGGGGACAGAGAGAGGGGTGTGCCAGAAACCTGGCTGTGAAGTTTATCCTCCAGAAACCTTCACTATGGCAGTCGAGAAGCTGGAGGAAAAACGTTGTTGAGAAGAACCCTATTTCTACAGAACAGACAGAAAATACTTAGTTGGCGGGTCCAGAAAATCTCCAGGCAGTTCAAAGTGCTAAAGCCATGAACAAGAACAAGGAAGTATTCTTAAATAATGTTCTATTCTCAACAAGATCAAGAAACAGAAACACCAAAGTTGTCTCTAAAACAAAAACTCTCAGTAAAGTTTTGTTTTGGAAATCCTGAAAGGAGGCAGTTTTGGTTTTTGAATGACTTAAAACCAGCAGAGATGGCATTTTTTGTTGTGGTTCCCCTGAACAGTAAAGGATGTTTCAAAGGTTAAAGGCAACTAAACTGAAATTAAGTTTTCTCTGTAGAAAATGGAAATTTTGCTATTTACTCATGCATCCTCACACCCAGCTTTAGGGAAGGAATACCTCTGCTTTGAGTGTCTGTGGTTTCTGCTTTCACAAACCCTGTTTTCCTCACATCTGACCCATCACACCTTCCTGCCCTAAATCTCTCCTCAGCCCATCTGTGCTGCCTTTGCTTCCTGTTTCCTCACTGTGCAAAGTCTTCACTTGTTACTTACTTGAAGTCACACAGCTGCTGCCATGGGTGTAAGACCTCTTTTCCACTCCGCTCCCTCCAGTGTGGGACGATGTTTTGAGCCCACTGCTACTCCCTCCTTCTGGAAGAGATGAGCACAAAATGAGACATGCTCTCAGAGTAAAAGATGAGGAGAAGAGTTAGGAAGCTGCAAGACGAGGCAGGAGGTACCAGAGCTGGCCTTATACTCAATTACAAAGACAGCTGCATGTCTGAGAAGATATCAGGACTGCAGAGAAGTGCCTTGGCAGAGCAGTTAAGCAGTCACACTGCAGACCTGGCAGGTTTGTAGTCAAATTTTGCTCTGCATATGGGCTGAAGTATGCTCCTGATAACCTTCATCATAAATGAGACAGAGGAACCACTTTCCAACCCAGCTGCAGCAACCTAATCAAGAAATGCAGTGGTATAGAGAGTACAGAGGATTCTTCCCTATTTATTGCACAGAGGTAGAAATCACCTGTGACCTCTTACACTATCCAAAAGTGATTCACCCACTGTTGCCAACTGAATAAGATGATGGAGGAATACACTGCATCCCCAGCAGTGGAAGCTGATGACCCACTACTTTTGAGCTTTGTCCCCAAGAGACAGTAACTGTTGCAGCCCTTCAAGAGTCTAGTCTACAAGTCTTAGCGGACTGCATGGCTTCCTTGTTTCTGACAATACCCAGACAGCTCCCCACATACTGCTCCTTCTCTCCACTAACAGTACTGGGAGGCATTTCTGAAAACAGCTTCTCTTGGGGTGCAAGCCTTTTTTGCACCCAGACCTGCTGCACCCAGGAACTTGTAGAAATAGTGCAGCTAAATTGCATGGAGAGGCACAAATCACTGACCAACTCATCTTGTAGAACATAACTACTTACTAGGTGGTAAGGAAGTCAGTCTTGTGGTTACAGTCTCTGTAATAACTGAGGAAAGAAAAGGTTGCAGAAGTTAATGCATTTTAATCTAGCCACAGGAGTTCTACTTCATTCCCATGGAGGAGCAGGACTCATTCAAGGAAAAGTCCCTTAACACGGGGACTGCACCCTCCCAGTGCAGCCCAGGGGGCTGCACCCTTCCTAACACACCAGCTTTTTCCTGTTTTTGTTTGCAGGCCTTTCTCACATTGCAGCTACAGAGTACACCCCTGCCATGAAAGATTTTTCTTTACAAATTCCCTGTGCAACATGGAAGTATTATTATTTCTGGGTACTTCTGAACCACAGACATCGCTGTAACTGCAAAAGCCATGGTCTGACCCTTGACTAGCTTCCCACCAGCTAATTCCCAGACTGCCAGCAGTGAAACTTACCCTCTGTTTTACACTGAGCCAAAAAAGATATTTAAAGGGCATGTTCTAGGCCAGGTATGGCCTCAGTATCACTGGCAGGAAGAGAACCCACAAGTCTGTGCTACTGGTAGAAGTGTTACCACGGGGCAGTCATCTCTGGTTATATACTCAGACCATGCTAAATGTTTCCAAACATTTGATATTGCCCCATTCTACTCCTTATTTTAACTTTGACAGGGAAACACGGATAGGTGCAGGACCCCAGGTTCTGGATCTCTGGTCAGTATTCAACTCCTTACAAAACAGCATCCGGTTCTGGGATTTTTGGTGCGCAACCTTATCCTGTGATAGGAGAATAAAGTTCTCCTTACGTCTTTCAGTAACTTCTGATCCATCTTGCCTTGTTTTCTTTGTTACAGAATCCATACCATTGCCACCTGCAGGGAGAGCATAGAGACTGTACTGAGAACTCTGTGCATAGTAGGAGATGACAACAGCTCCCCAAAGGTCCCACCAGTTTTCTCCTTTCAGCTGGGGAAGGGACTGTCTGGAACCCACCTATGCCTGGAACCCACCTATGCCCGGGAGTTTAAAGTGCCCTTCCAAAGCTACGTGAGTATTTATTACTACTGGACCAACAGCACTCTCCCACTAAACCAGAAGCGGCACAATGCAGCAGGGCTGAAAGAGTAGGAGGGGTTATGAAGCCAACAAAAGAGGCTGGGGCAATGAAAGCCCCTAAGCAAAGCCACTCAGTGCTGGAGAAGCTTAGATTTGACTTTATATCCAGACTTTGTGGCGCTTTGCCATGGCCTCTAGGCTTGCCCCCATCAAGGTTTGAACAAAAACACAGGATCCAAACACCACTCCCACACATCTACTCTGGGCAGGATTCAACAACACAGGACTAGAAATGCAGACAGCTGCAGGAGTTCTGCCTCCATTAGCTACCAGAATGTGCCAATGCTGCCAGAAAGCAAAAGCAGAGATATTGCTGTACTGTGATGGCAATACTGTGCGCTCTCAGGGTGTACTGATGCTGAAACCACAGCACTGATTTTAGTGAAACAGTAAAACACTTGAGGTACTTTTAAACTAGCTGTTTTGGGCAACAAGGAAGTTAGGGTACGAAAGTTTATCTTGCTTTACAGGCAGAGTGGTGACAGCTTGGAGCCCGTGTCTGTGGCTATGGAATCGGAACTAATTAATTTAATGCTAGCTCAGGTCAATCTACATAGTATTGGAATCACTGGTGTGACTGCTGTGCGTACTCTTCCTTCATGACTTGGATCCCTCTCTAGTCCAAAACACAATCCCTGGCAGAGCTATGAATGTCTGCCAAGGCAGGAATACCACAAAGACATACTGTGACTGTGGAAAAAAAACATCAGCCAAGAGAGAAATCTCTCCTGTCAGAATGAAATACACAGTTGCTCGCTTCTCATCTCTCTAAGATAACATTTCACCTTGTGCAGCCACAAACACAAAGAAGGAAGAGATTTTAATTAGTGCAGAAGGTGATAACAGGCAAAATCTCTCCACTGCCTTTGAGGGCTCCTTCCTAAAACCTGTAGAGCAACCATACAGGAAACATCATACTTAATAGGAAGAGTCTACAAAAGCTTTGGGCAAAATGCCTTTCAAGCTCTTAGAGTCCAGGTCAATGCAGAACTGTGCCCTCCAATTCAGGTATCATTTGTGTTTGACCCTCTTGATTACACCTACTTGTCTGCAAAGCATCTACCAAGTAGCCTTCCTGGATGCTATACTTGTATTGCCCAGGCATAAATGACATAAGGCAGGAGGAAGCAGAGTTATCTGGAGGAGTACCTGAAACTCAGTTACAGTCCTGTATTTGAATAGCTTCTGCTATTCCCAGAGCTGGCCAGGAACAATTTGAGCTTAGCAGGAGCGCTACCAGTCAAGCCACGGTATGTCATGCTTCCCACCATAAACTCAGCTAACTTGGTGGAGAACACCCACAGCCCTGAGCCCCCACCCTCTGCACCTCACACCCTGAATCTGGGGCTCCTGCAGCCACATCCGAGTCCTTACACAACCTTGGTGGCAGGACACTACCCAGCCCTCCCACAGCCCTCCCCTAACACAGGGGATTTCCATGAGATTATCCAGGGAGCTGATTCCGAGGCACAGGCAAGACCTGAGCCTTGAATCAGGAAAGGGTTACTCCTCCTGCAGAATGCCAGTACTCTGCAATAGAGGGGTTCTTGGTTATTCACTCCAAGAAAAG